GTGCAAGCGAAAACCGACACTAAGGTGACGAACCTTTTCATTCCGCGACTGTACTTAACTTTACAACTTCTACGTGGAAATCATTTTTCTGTTAGTCGTCCAGTCAACCAAAACCAACATAAATCTACTATCACCGTATTATCAAGAACTAGCATGCATTGGTATACTACTTATTTGTATTAAGGTGCGTAGGTGCATTATTGATTATAACCATCTGGCATTTGTAAATTTTCTCTAATATTATACGATGAACAGCAAAGCGTATATTTTTCAATGCTGACTTGAAGAAAGCTAAATGCTCTGCCTGCATAGATTGCACACGCATGTGACCGGCAGCGCGCTGAAGGCCGCCCGGCCGCGCCGGTTCTGACGCCGGCGATCCGTAAAATTCAGATTACCATTCACATTGTGTATTGCCATTATTGTGCAGATGAGTGTCATTATTTTGAACACACCATTTCCGAGTCCATTAAAACGATACCGTGTCATTATTGACAGGACATAATTTTGGATCTCATTAGTTTAACTTCAGGTTTTAAAACATAGGCAATTACATAAATATACCTAGGTATCTCTATCACGTGTACCAACGAACCGAATAATTCTGATTACCAAAAAAATATTACCTATGTATTTCAATAATAGCCACCACAGATTGTCTCTGAATCCATTAAATTGCGGATGAAATTACAAACAATTAAGTTACCTTGCTTTCCTACCTGTTGCATCGATCATATTATGTTTTGATTGGATTTTGATCCTATGATCGACTTACGATAAAGCCGTGAAATTACCACAATGTGTGAAATTATTTTTACAATGTGGAACAGCAAAGATATTTTCCATTCGTTATTTTTTATTTTATTAGTTTAACAATGTTTCAACAGCATTTGTTTAATTTTTCATCATAAAATATAATATTTTCGATACAAGTTTTCCTTAATTATAATAAATAATCATATATTAAGAGTTGAATAATACCGAAATGGTATAATAATTACGTGTAATATAAAGCATAAATAAATTTGTAATGATTGTTGTGACCTTATGCTGGTAATTTTACCTGCCTATTTACAATAATTATGTAACATCAAGGGGGATATCATTATTAATTTAACAATGTTTAATGATTCCTTCCTAGTTCATGGTATATATTTTTTCGGCAGTGAGGTATTTTAAGTCTGCTTAATGTTTATAATAACTTTGATGTGGTGATATGAAACTCTACCTAAATAATGATATTATAGGGCTTAAACCATTGAAGACATTTTCTCCACCGTGTAGGCTGTAAGTAACGATTTGGATTTTATGACCGTCATAGCCTCATGTTTCTTTGTATGCCCTCACCCAACTGACGTCACTCCTCGCAGCCGGTGTCGTCATCGGCCAGGTTACCTCAACCCTCGCGTCTAAAGGCCAGGGGACAGAGCTCATTTACAGACTCAATAGACGAGGGGTCTCAAATATTCATGGAATTTAATCGTATCGGTTGTAGCCCATCGAATATAATGACTATCTAAAGTCGTTTGTAAACCGCTTGAGCTGAGTCAGTCAAGAGTTAGCGTTGAGGGTGTGATAACATTTAATGGATGCTTATAACATTTAATTTTGTCAATATTGCGTCACTTTACCTGCGTAGGGTCTTTTTAGAGATGCCTTGATAAGCTAAACAAGCTGCGGAAACAATATGTTCAAAAATAAAGTTCCAACAAGAAAAACTACAATTTTACCTAGCTCCAAATATGACTGCTATGACTAGATAACAGGGTATTTAAAATGATATTAATGAAAGTGCTACAATAAACATTCGACTACTTTGCCTGCAACCGCGTTGCCATAATAAATGAGTAAGGAAAACAAGTTCTGGGCGCTCGGAGCCGAACTACACTATTTGTGTGCCTCGTCGTCGCCAGGTGCCTCGCGACCCTCCGGGTGACCGAGTGATGTCACCGCGGTGGCGTCACTGCGGGCTCAGGAGGGTGTCATTGATGGTAGGGACGACCGGGTACTTCATACTCACCGGATTAGAGGCAAGTAATAGCGTGCGTGGGCGGCCGCCGAGATTTGATTCAACATGGGCATAAAAGTAGACCTACTTAATTGTAAATTAAAAATAAATACATTTTTTATTATTATTATCAATTGAGAGAACCGACACTGTTGTGTTGATACATGCTAATGAATTTTGGTTTGATTAAAGTCAGTATAAAATGTACTAGTTAGGTTGGTACCTACTTATTTTCATATTTCCACAATTTAAAAAATATGTTGCCTTCTCTCATAATTACTAGGCAGATAAATACTGATAAATAGTGTGTTTTGTGGGAGCGTAACAAATGTACACCTGCATTTACCAATTCTTTTTCACACGGGTGAGGGGTAATCAGCATCGGACCGCGGCCTCGCGCCAAGGCCGTCTACCCGCCAATTTCTATCTTTTTGCTTGTCCGGCATTATTTGCGACTTTTCCGTGGGGCTCAGATCGCGGAAGCGCTACACAACAGAAGAGAGATAAAAGACGTTTTTATTTAGAAACCTTTTATCTTTCTGAGAATTGTTTCCGTAATTTTAGCTTTATCTTCTTTCAACCACCGACGCTACCTTGTAAATATGCATGCATCGATGGACATAATGAATGACTTGTTGATGAAAGGTCGTTGGAAAAGACAGATGAAATTTTTCGTATCTCAGATGTCTAAAGGTCTCGAAAATTCTGGTGTCGATAATTAGATACGGTAAAGCCCACCCGGCTTAAGAGTTAGCTGTGTAGGTAGGTATATTTCCATAGAATAGTCTCTAAAAAAGTTGTGTTTTTAGTATCAGGAGATAACAGATCGTTGTTATGATCTATTCTGTTCAAAAATCGTATCGCAGTATCACCTCGATAAAATTCACAGAGCTTATTACTTAGTTACCTAACTGTCCATGTTTTTCCACATAAAAAAGTTACAAGGAGTGTCTTTGGAACGTCACGTTCCCGGGCACTGTGGGAACTGACAGTATTGAGCCTTCGCTGCCGCCGCGGGGCCATGCGAACCCCCACCTGGCATCTGTAGGCTGCACTTACATTCTTAATTATGCTTACGAAGCAAAAAATATTGAATCGATTTTCTTCTATTTAATTACGCATTACAATTCTTATTAAGGCCCCGACTACGTGGCGAAAGTTTCCAGTTTTCATAATTTATTGAGTTATTTGATGATGTCATTCATTTGGTTTGCGGATATAAGATGAGAAGACCGCCGTAGAACATGGCAAAAGGTCCTTGCCCCGTACAGTGGGATCAAAAAAATTATGATTATGGTTGACAGTAGTAGTAGGAAATGTTTTTCTATAACACAACCGCGAATAAACCTCCAAAATGATTACTATTCTGCCGCCGTAGCGCGCGATGCCAGCCCAGCGGCAACTCCGAGACAATGCAGGCTGCAGCCGTGACGCTCCTAGTGTTTGTTTAGCTCCGCCGTGACATTGGCGCCTGCTCGCTATATTAGTACCAAATTATGTCACGAGAAACAATGTTCCACTTCAGAAAGATTTGTGTACAACTCCACCAGTTCTGGCTTGTCAGACCGGACCACAGAGTCACCGTTCTAGTCTTTCATGACGTTGTGGTAACATCGAATCTCTATTATCTGGTCACCAAAACAGAAGCCTAGCTTTAGTTGGGCATGACGTCACGATAAGAACGTATCCTTTGCAGAACGAGCGCGAGCTGATGGTACGAAAATAACAAAGAGTCCTGATAACACTATCACAAATGCGTACAAGGCCGTAGTTCATTTTCTCATATCATTATCTAATTATGTATAAATTACCGTAATTAGCAAATTACCCTCCGAAAATGGTCATTAAGCGAGCAGGGTATGGGGCGCATCAACAGTGCCGGCTAACAAAGATAAGGTACATTGTTTTACGAAGTGCGTGCCTTATCGAAAACATAAGTGATACGATTATTGCGAAATTATGCACGATGGCGATCCTTATCTTGATTTGATAACTATATAATTGATAGAGTCGGTTATAATAAAAATAGATTTTGATAAGATTTAACAGCACTCCAAGCTTGTTTATACTTTCTAAATAATTGTTAATTACAATATCTATATCAGTTTAATTTATTTGCAGACAACCTTCAGGCGGAGGAAAAATAAAGCGTTTGAATGATTCTAAATAAAACAGTTCATCTAGTGCAAAATATTTACTTTATTACTAATATTAAACAGATATCAACATAATTAAATGCGCTGAAATGCATACAATTCGTTAAACGTTAAGTAGATTCGTTCCCAATATAAACTGATAGGTAGGCAGTTCACCTGTGTAAAAATAACAAAATTGACATCGGAGTGGATGGGCAGTGAGCACATAAAAATAGATTAATGGCAGCGCGATCGATCGGACGCGGTCGCCGCGACCTGCCTCGCGCTTCAGCCGTGGTTTGGCTGCAAGTGAAATGGGGAAATAATTGCCGCCTTCACAATATACAATTACCCAGATAATGGTTTTCTGTGTATTAATATTTTACTAAAATATTGTCATGTAACATCAGTAACCTACTTCAATGTGACACGTCAACTCATTATGAAGGTAATTTCCATTGTAGACGTTTTCATAACTAGGCATGAAAGTACTAAACATTTCGCTGTTTTAGAAACTAAGTATGCTAATTAATAAACTTATTTTCTTTGGAACATTTGTCTGCAGTTTATCATTGAATCGGCTTCATGTTATCTTTTTTAGTATACAAAATACTATAACGATTTTCCACTTAAGTAATATTTTTGATTATTATTTCCCACACGGGCATTTTAAAAAACTGATTCTTAACTCACTGCTAAAAACTTTTTTCGCTGAAATATGTTTAACTATTTAATTATACTAGATTATTATAATAACGAAGGAAAATAATTATTGTACAAAGGTTGTCTTATCTTATGCTCGTTTGCCTCCTATCACATAAAAAAAAAATGTACCGGACCATACATTTTAGCATTAGGTAGGTATACATATTATTTTTATCGAGTTCTTTGGTAAACAGATGTAGAGCGTTAATGTTTTCATAAACAACGATGTTCATGAACATTAAGAGTAGGCGCACACCGTTGATTTTTAGTCGGGCAGTTGATCAGTATGGGCATGTATGGGAGTGTGCACACTACGCCGATCCGATTTGGCCGATTCTTCATACAAATTAAAATCGGGCACAACTATCGGTCAACTAAAAATCAACGGTGTGCGCCTACTCTCAGTTGGTGACAGCTGTCAATATGGTTGTAGGGCGTACGTACGATGGTGGTCAACTGGTCGCTGTCCGCTCAGCAGCGGCGCGAGCAGCGGCGCCGGCGTGACAGGCGCGGAGGACAGGGCGCACCGCCGGCGCCCGCCGCTCGCTGCAACAAACGCACAACATTAAATAAATAATAATAATATTTCTTTATTGCACAAAACCTTTACAATTGTAGTAACACAATAAAAATATAAATATAAATAGTGCATTGCTGAAGGAGACGCAAAGTAAATATACAGAGGTTTCCAAACTAGGCCAAGCCTGTATCTTGGAAAACCAATAAAATTAAGTGTGTAACTTGCAGAGAAAAGGAAAACCAGTACAACAATGCAATTTCTGGTGCAAAAGAAACATCATGAGTAGGTAGCCTAAAAACATCAATTTAACAGGCTTTCGGTACTTAAATAATCCAGCGAGAGTAACCACTTGCTTAGGGCTATCTTTGCTGCCGAAACAGAACAAGATTTTATATTGCAAGAGCTTGCTGCCTTATTACAAATGCGCGCCTTAACATAGTCACCAAATCTGCTTGCAAATCGAGAATTTACGGAGGGAGTGGGGATTTTGAATACGCGCTTTTTAATGAGAGTATTGTATTCGTCAGATGAGATTAATCGCTTGTGGGCAATCAGGGACCCTGATTCAGGGTGGTTTTAAGGATGAACAACTGACGCACTGTTAGAACCTGAGCCTCCCTATAGAGGTCCGTTGTAGGGTATCTAAAAGGTTTTTTGAGCATTATTTTTAAAATGGATCTGTTTGCTCGTTCAGCTACCATTATACTTATTATCTCATACCGAAACCTACAATTTCGTTCGTTTCAGCTGAAAGACGTCCACTGCTGAACAAAGACATCCCCCAAGGATTTCCACAAAGGCCGGTCCTACGCCGCTCGCATCCAGGCACCCGCGACCTTCACCAGATCGTCGGTCCACCTTGTGGGAGGCCTGCCCACGCTACGTCTTCCGGCTCGTGGTCGCCGCTCAAGAACTTTCCTGCCCCAGCCGCCATCAGCTCTACGAGCTATGTGCCCCTGTTAAGTTAGTTGGATTCGCGAACCAGTGACGTCATAGCTTGTCTTTGCCATACAACATCTATGGGAGAGTCGTGTAAATAAAAATTCTAATGACTGGCGGAGTATTTTACTACTCGATTAAAGAAAGAAAGTAGAATTTTCCGCCTGCAGGACACCAATAATAGACATCCTCGGGGTGACGTTCCTCTATCACCGGGTGGGAATAGGATACCAAGACAGCCTCATGCGTTTTCTCAAGTAACGTCAAATTCTTCATATTACATCTTCATCCATTTGTGCCTAATGGCCCCCTAAATATGTTTTGCTCTAATAAAGCGTGAAATCATGACAATTGAATAAATGACCAAAGCGTGGTCGGCCTAATGTCCATCTAGTCCTAGACCTTTGTCCTCAATCGACTGAACTTGACACCGATTGCCCCGTGACATTCAACGTTTGACACTTGCCTCCACTAATGTTTTGTACATGTCCTCTCATTAAATTCTGTGATTTAAATTGCCTACATCTACGAGTAAAGGTTGGTGGAGATCACTGGTCAACGCCTGGACCAATTTTACTGATTCTTTTTTTTAAATGTTCGTTGAAGTCCAAGGATGGTTTAGAAGAAAAAATCGAATAATTTCCAGGAAAACCCTAAAAACAGCCTTTTTCTTTTTCCCATACAAACGTTTTCTAAGAGTTAACTATAATATGTATAGGTAGAAACAAAAAACTGCCACATTCCAAATATGTTTGACAGAACGAAGTCTGTCGGGTCCGCTAGTATTAATATAATTTTGTTTTGTTCCAGGTACGTGTCCGTAATATTAGTGACAGTTTAGCGGCGCCGATATTGGCGGCGGCGTGGTACTCGTAAATAGCGCGATTTAAACGAGCTGGCTGAACAAACAGCGCGGCCCGCCTGCGGCACACTGCGGCTCCCGATGCCAGAGTTATTACTCGGGTAAGCGCAAACAAACACTTTCAATATTATTTTAATATCCAACAAAATAAATTTACCAATAAAAATACTACTTATTATAAGCGCATGATTGCATGGTGCTGTATTTCTTCCGGTTTACAATTATAGATTTATGGATGGTTTTCAGAAAACATAAAGATTATGTCGTTTCTTTTATATCGTCGTTTTCAGTCCAGTGTCCAGCAAGACAATGGTAATTGTCATTGGTCTTGTTTTAATTATAGGCACTTTTATAAATAGCGTTTATCATAGGTATTCTGGCGGGCTTGCTTCATAAAACAAATATATCAGGCAGGGGTAATATGACTGTACCACGTTGGGCGCCAACTTAACAATAAAAATCAAATAACATGAAACACCCAACTAGATTCATGTATATTTTTGATGATAAATGTGCGATTTAATCACGATATTTCAATGTTAATAAGTTTTTACGCGTGTTGATAAATGAAAATGTTTTATTTTATAAATAAGTAAGAGTTCGAATATGACTCAGACTTACAACACACACATAAGAAAACCAGGATACCGTTTCTGGAAAATTCAAGGTGGATGCGTGTTTAGCGCAGGAGTAGCGGTGCAGACGTCTGCATTCGCGTTGTTTGTAAACACGCTGCTCGGCGATATGTTCTTCGTCCTCTTACTAATTACGACCGAGGGCTGCCATCGTCGTTGTGTGTCAATTGATAAACTACTTACTACTACTCGTAACACAGGGTGACTGGTAATTAGTGGCGGAGCCGTTAAGGGGAGGTAGTCTAGGGTTATTCTGACAGATATCACTATGAGACCTACCGTCCTTATTTAACCCTTTCCAAGATATTCCTACTTAAAGAGTGTAAGCAAAAATTTTCAAATAGTAATAAATACGAAAAAAAATGTGATTTTGGCCTACTTTGTTTTGTTTTGCAACAAAGATAATTCTAAATAAGTAATATTCATTGTTAAATCTTCATAACTGCCATTGTTTTATGCAAAAGCTGCTAAACAAAAACATAAATAAGGACGGTAGGTCTCATAGTGATATCTGTCAGAATAACCCTGAACTACCTCCCCTTAACGGCTGCGCCACTAAATACCAGTAACCCTGTATATCATACAAAAAATTACCCGAGAGCATTTTTTACGAACAAGTGGAAAGAAAAGAATGGAATTATATCCTAATAATGGAATCGCTCTCCTGTGAAAAAAAACATTCTCCTGTAATTTGCATTGAATTCAGAGCCTTCCTCTGGTTTTTCTGTGCTTTGTGGCTTCAAACATTCTTATTTCCCGCATGGTAGAGGTAAGACGTGTCCATGTTTCAAAGCTCGCCAAGTTGAACGTACCTAAGAGAAGAAATCGGTGAGCGGACGCTATACGTTACTAGCACCGCCTTGGCAACCAACCGGACTACAACTATGACTCATAATTATTATACTAACTTGCTTATGTTAACTCCTGTTAATGGCTAGTAAAAANTAGAATATTAGCTCAATGTTGAATTAGTCGATTTTCTCCTGATGGAAACATGTAAGACAAAAATAAAATTTCCAATATTACAGACCTTCTAGAGCAGATGCCGCGAAAACTATACAAGATATAGAAAAACTTGACTATCTCACCTGTAGCATATTGAATAAGTTTTTTTTGGTTCATAGTAGTCATGTCACTAGGACGCATAGTTTCCGAGGATTAAGCGAAAAACCGAAAAGTGGTACCTTTAAGCCCCCCTCTCCCCGCCGGCTCAAGGGCTAAGGTCGTGGACTTTTGCTTTGTTCACCTCCTAACTAGTCTAAATAAAGTCCCGAAGTCAAAAATTGTGTTCCACGGATTTCCATCTATAATGCTTTATTGACTGGACTATACTTAAAGAGTGTAAGCAAAAATTTTCAAATAGTAATAAATACGAAAAAAAAAATGTGATTTTGGCCTACTTTGTTTTGTTTTGCAACAAAGATAATTCTAAATACTAAATCTTCATAACTGCCATTGTTTTATGCAAAAGCTGCTAAACAAAAACATAAATAAGGACGGTAGGTCTCATATTATATCACTATATCTGTCAGAATAACCCTGAACTACCTCCCCTTAACGGCTCCGCCACTAAATACCAGTAACCCTGTATATCATACAAAAAATTACCCGAAAGCATTTTTTTATGAACAAGTGGAAAGAAAAGAATGGAATTATGTATATCCGAATAATGGAATCGCTCTCCTGTGAAAAAAACATTCTCCTGTAATTTTCATTGAATTCAAAGCCTTCCTCTGATTTTTCTGTGCTTTGCGGCTTCAAACATTCTTCATTTCATTTCCCCCATGGTAGAGGTAAGACGTGTCAACGCTTCAAAGCTCGCCAAGTTGAACGTACCTAAGGGAAGAAATCGGTGAGCGGACGCTACACGTTACTGGCACCGCCTTGGCAACCAACCGGACTACAACTATGACTCATAATTATACTAACTTGCTTATGTTAACTCCTGTTAATGGCTAGTAAAAACTATGTTAGTAACTATCAGCTCCTAGAAACGTTAGCTTAAATTATCGCATTTCCGAAATATGTTCACCAACGTTCTTTGGTAGTGATTACCGAAATCAAACAATAAGCCACGCTACATAATACACACAGCGGTCGATCGGCTGACCGCGTTTAGGAAGCATCGATTATGACTTAATTCGTATATTCACTACAATTCAAATGTTAAAACTACAACTAAAAGGAAAATATTTTTAACCGTCCTTATGTAAGTCATTCACCACATTTAAGCTCACTATTCTGAACCTATGTGTTTCGTAGACGTATGCGTGTTCACAAAATAATATAGCACTCTGGATTTATTTTTGTTTCCGCGTAGGTGGACGATTGTAATCCACCTGTATGATGTACTCGTATTTGTATGTAATGTAGAGAACATAAACTATTGGATTTATTAAATTACTAAACTAAGTTACGAAATGTCAACGCCAAGAGTCTTGCCGAACATCGCGATACAATCACCATTTCAATATACACCGCTGTCAAGACAATCGACACTTATCTAGAAATGTGTGTGTGCACAGGTGTATTGTTCAAAATCAAATACTCCAGTTATTTCAATACCTACGTTTAAATGCGAAACGAGTAAAATCGTGAGTCGATAATAATGTTAAACTAGCAAAATAGAGTCGGAATGTAATTATCATGAAAATAACAATAAAACATACAGTAGTTACGGTATGTTTATGGTACTTGATAATAACCTTTCAGCGTTGTATCTTTAGGATCCAAATCCACAATTTTATTTTTACAGTCCGATTTCTAACCTCGCCCGCCAAGCGACGTGACCTTGCTTGTTGGCCGAAGAATCCGAATTCAAAGCTCTTAAGCATAAATGTGGTAAATGTATCGAGTGGTATGGAATGGTGCGTGTAATCGATCGTTCGATTGGCGGCACTCGCCGAATACCTGCACGGGAGCGAGTTAACGGAATATTTGTTTGGCACATTCTGCCGCCGCGGCGTGAGTTCGAAAGAAATACCTACTTGCTTCATCCATTGATTGCAACCGTAGTTTATCATTTTATTGAAGAAATATTGATATCTTAAATTGGACTAATGTAGTGTTTTAAGCAACTATCAAACCTAAACGCCTCGTATGCCTAAGAACTGATTAGGACGAGATACAATGAATTTCGCATTCGCTGGAATCCCGGCATACAACCGGTTAAAGGAAAACCCTTTACCTAGTCATGTCATGACGGGCCATGTCATACGGGGTGTCATGTGGTGTACTTGTATTATTTATTATATTTCTAGATGAGGTGTAACTCACCAGAACAGTCCTGGTGCGTTCCTGGTAGCCGACGCCGCAGGTCACGCTACACGCGCTCCACTCGCTCCACTCGCTCACCTGGCAGTCGCTGGCCTGCACCAGCGACGGGCCTGCGTGAAGAGCATTCGTTAGCAACATATACATACAGCGCATTTTGAAACTGTGACTAACATTTGCATTATCTCAGAGTTAACTGGAAGAATACCTTGCGATAAAATGGCATTGACTTCAATATGATATGAAAGGTATAGAGAAATATTTAATGTCGTCCCAGCGCAGCGTTGCCAGTTTTTTTTTTTCGTTAAGTCGGGACTTTGGTACTTTTTGAGTGAAAATAGCGGGATTCTTCCGTCAGAAGCGGGACATAGTAAAAAAACGTATATAATCAAAGGTTTTCAAATATTTATCCTTTTATTTGACTTAAAAATTACGTTTACGTGACAAAAGTAGCCATAGAAAATGTATTTTACAAAAAAATAATATTTTAAATCAGATTTACTCTATCGTTAAATTCGTCTTTAGAATAAAAAAAGAAAAAAAAAACAAAAATCAAAATAAAAAAAAAATTCTTTACAATAATATGGAGTTTCAAACAATAGTCTGGTGAAGTGAGTGTCTCTCTCCGAAAAGCGGGACAGAGCCTGTCCCGCGCGGGACATTTAAATTTGATTTAAAAATCGGGACGTCCCGCCAAAATCGGGACGTCTGGCAACGCTGTCCCAGCGCAACCTGATAAGTGTTGACCAGTGTTACCGTCTGCAAAGTGCCAATTTCTTGGAATAAACTTTACCGCCCGATAATGTGGCTTAAGTTAAAACAGGTCTTAAGTATTGCGATAGTATAAAACCAGGGGTCTATCGCGCGGGTTCTGTATTGCGAATAGTTACCGTTGATGGTGTTCTGCGCTTGCGCTCCGCCGGGCTGGCCGGAGCCCGCCGCCGCGAGGGCCGGCCCACCGCCTCCTGAACAAACAAACACAACTTGTGACATTCTTGTATAATAGACCAATAGAAGAAAGTAGTGCTGAAATTATCGTCATAAAAATTATATAAAATGTGTCCCATTTTCTTTCATACAAGCCTTATCCTTACAATCATGAAAATGAGAAAATATGGCTTGTGAGACGAGTTGGCATTCATTTATTTATACCTATGGCATATAACGTTCAATGTCGTAAATTCAGTTTATTACTATTAGATCTCATATTCACGATTAATAATAAATATCTGGAGTAATAAATAAAATTGTACGGCGTTCAGCATCAAGTAGTAAGACCGAAATAGAATTCGCGAGGTTTGCAGCCGATCTGACGCTCATACATTATTAATATACATTTTAAAAGACGCCGGTAGTGTAACGAATTTTCAATCAAAGTTGTTTATTTTCTGCGCCACGACGAGCGGTCAGGGCGTACATGTTTTTCATATTCCCGGTGAAACAATAATGGATACAGAGCAAAATTGTAGATAAACAAACACATAGCTCCAAAAACATTTGATCCCGTATAACTGCTGACAACGGGTACTGGTCGGTCGTGGGTGTCTTCTAAAGTTATCAGACCAATTTGACTGACCAAACCCCGATCAAACGCTGGACTTTAGTACCGCGTCATCTCGAGTAGGTAATTTAATCGTTTCCCATTTATTACATTCCCTATTCTAAATATAAAAAATGTAGCGTTCTTTGGAGTTAAGCTTGAACTCTTAAGTAGGTACTTCCTATCATTCGATGCGCCATGGTCAGTAAAGTTCACGATCAAATTCGCTCATGAGATCACGCGATGACGGCAATAAAGGCCTCCGCTGACGACTCGAGCTGAATCACTCGGGATCATCTCAGATTTACCGAGTGGACGACAAGTCAATGATCTGCTGTCGGCGCAAATCTCGCGTGAGCCTCAAACACATTATGCTGGCAAAAAAACTTACGAGCGTATGACGTGATGCTCGAGAATAATTTGACACACATAATAGAAAGCATCTTCCAAGATTAAAGATATCCCGAAAAAAAATTGATCTCAAAGCTCTTAATTGCCCGAAAGCTTTAAAATTCATTTAGTAGAATTATAATTGCACGGTGCATTTAAAGCCTACCACTGTGCACTGCTTTAAGGTAATCACGTGGAGTGGGTACACGTTAATGATGATTTTTAGGATTATTGTCCAGTAGCACTTACTTCCCAATTTAGCAAAAGAACATGTGATATTACGACCTACCCCAGCTACATTTTTAGAGCACAAATCTTTCAAAAAATTCATCTCATCCGATTCATTTTATAAATAAGTTTATTGTTAGATTTAGGTTAAATAGAAATATAGATATTTAGCTGTGTCCCGCGGTGTTACCAGCGGTAAAACGTAGCCTGTGTTAATCCAGGATTCCAGGGTGTCAGCTAACTCCATACCAAATTTTATTCAAATCAAAATCAAAATTATATTTATTTGTTTAGACTAATTAAATTAGTACTTGCAAATCGTCAAATGCTCTTAAGGAGCCTATACATGTCTCATTCTTTTTTTGCCCTACCAGCGCTTCGAGACAAACATTTGGCAAGTTATTAAAATCGCTACAGCCTTTTAGACGTGAAGAAGTAACAAACTCAGACACAAATCCAATTTGTTTATAATCGTTTCCAACAACACGTTTTCATTTACCATTTTAAACGCAGGCAGCTTGTTTCAGTAGCATTATGACCTATTAGGAGGTGGTACACAAACCGCTGACCATAAAAGTGTTGACTAAAGCAGTACATACTAGACGACATACATAATGCATGTCTTGTCGTATTGAGAGCACTGCTGAACGCGACTCGTCTACTAATTTTTATTAGAACGTCATTTAATGCTGCTGTCATTCAATTTGTTTTAAATGTATTTTGCTTTCATTGCATTCATTACCTATTATAATATGTGTTTCAGGTTTCTCTAATGAAACTTTTATATTACGAGTACAAAGTTGTCTTGTTTTTATCTTTTGAATTCATTTTTACGCAGTTGGGGTTTTGGTTTTTCAATAAATCATTCCGAAATTAAAAAGTTAACAAGTACATAACCTTAAATGAAACACAAGGTCTTCATTCAGACAAGTGTGAATGTAAATCTTAATAAAAATAAATTATGAGTAAACACGCAAATACATTAAGCTTGTTCATAAAGATCCTATCAGCGCTAGGTACTTAGCCTGTAAGCATCTAGGAAGAGATGTATCTAAATCAAATCCAAATGGCACATCAAAGGTCGTTAGTGTAGCACGCAGAACAACGCAATAAAACATTTAGCGAAATGAATGAACCGATTAAAAAGCGTCGTAAATAACTCTTAGCTTTACGAGCTTTGCGAGTGTTATTTTTATGAAGGCATTCAAATGTTGGAGATCTCTATTCTACTATATTTGCGTGCCCATAAAAGGTATCTAATTCGTGTTTATGTTTTCTTACTCTCAATAAATATGATGATTTTAATCCTTTCATTATCTGCAATTGAGATCTCACAGAAGGTAATAATGAACTAAGTAATTAATTAGTGCAGGGTTGAGTAAAAACAGACCCCTCTTTCCCACTGGGCACTTAGGGCACGTGCCCAGGGCCCCGCGACCGAGGGGGCCCCCGTCTGCACAAAAGACTTTTCTCCAGATGATAAGGGCCACCCTTGATCCTTAAGTGCCCAGGGCCCCTAGTAGGTTAAAGACGGCCCTGAGTAAAGATCCTTTAACGTTCCTCCGTAACTTTAAAAAGGGGCCAATATCTCGTAGATGGCGCTGGCGCCTCGCCAAGAGGCTGGGGCCATCGCTCCGTCTGTTGCGGGGTACCGTTGGAAACACTATGTGTCACATAACACCTCGTCATACATCATCTCGGTCTAACCGTGCCGCAAGACCTGGAGTACTTTAGGACTGCTTTTATGGTATTGGTTGTTCAGTTACAAGGTGCCGTAACCGCCTGGTAGATGTTACATTACATCCAAACATGACCTCGACCTTGAATCGGCATTCAAATATTTGATGATTACTAGCTTATACACATCTAAAAAAGTGCTAATGCTTCACTCAAATTACTTCACATCCAAAGCTACAACACCAAGTCACGACTCGAACAAGGCCAGATGGACTAGATTTTTTATTTTAATATGCTACTTTTTTAATGTTGTCAACAAACCTCTGTCCTCGACGCTTTATTAGGTAAATCCACCAGAATTTCTCTGATAAAATCTATAAATATATTTTTATAGTAAGTAAATAACGACGACCATTTCGCTGACTCTACGTCCGAATTAAATAAGCCAACGCAAAACGCTGGGTGCGTCTGCAATGAGAGATGCAATGAATCAGCCGCGCCATTGACAACTTGTTTATGCACCCGATGGCTACTCTCAAGTGCTCGTTACCTGTGGTTTATTACAAGATCTTTTTAATCAATATATTTTCTAAAGCATCGTTTGCTGAAACTGAAGGCTATCTGTTTTAATTAAAGCAGATTAAATTGGGATTGTTAACATCAAATATTTACTTTCGCTTGCTGAGATACAGTCAAGGCCATGTTTCAGTATTCAGCTAAACTAATTTGTATAAACAATGAATGGTTAGACGAAATCATGAATTACCTAGACCTACACTATAATTTTTATTCGGATCCCCGGTGTAGTACAGAAAAATGCAGATTAATTACAATGCCACAAGCAGCTAAGTAGTCAATTATCAAGCGGCATAAACAAACACAACCTTGTTGCGAACGTGCAGAGCCGACGCGGTCCGTCTGCGCGCAACAGGTAGGCAATCCCCGCCTAAGCCGGATTCTGTTTACGACCCATCTAACTAATACTTTCCACGTTACTCCTGCTGTTATTATCAACTATGTATTTTATGTTTTCACACTTACAACGTCCATCCATATTAAGTTCATTCTATTTAGACAAAATACCTATTCGATTGAATTTATAGCAGTCATATTCCACGGTAATTGAACATAACAACAAGGAAAATTCCCCACCATTTCTTTCACACTATTACACGTAAATAACACACTTGATAAGCGTTATAATCTAATGTGTGCAGTATAAGTTTAATCTGTTGTTCACAATAAATTGTACAGATTATAGTTATGTTGCGCCATGGAATTACTATACGCATAATATTTCAAATAGCCCTCAAAACTTTGTATAGTTGGCGTTGCTCTTTTCAGTATCCTTGTTTTATTTATACAAAAAAGAAATAAAAAGTACAATGAGGAATATTTTTTTTAATACAAATTCAAGTGATATGTGGCAGAGGTAGAAAATATTGATGACGGTACTACGCCATTTAATATGTCGATAAACAATACAAGGCAAGTGAGTATCTTTTCCATCAACCTATTGATTGTTTTGAATGAGTAAATGTTTACAAGAAATGCATAAGGTGTGAGTGAAACGCCGACAGTCAACAGTCATATGACACCGCATTACGGAGTATTTCTATGCGGCGAGTGTTTGCTCGCCTTCAGTCTACGGCGCATAGATAACAACACATTATGGATTGCCCAGGGCCTCCAGGGCTGCCAACTAATAGTGGCCCGGTCGTTTGTGTGGAAATCGGACCTTAAATCAAAATCTGTACTAAATATTTGCGAGAGTATCATTCATCCAATGTAGTCAAATACTCGCAAACTTTTACGATGTAAACAACGCGGCCGCTTATCAAGACAAGTTATTACATTATAAATTAGAGGGTTTAATCTGTTTGTGTGTAAATGTCAGGTTTTAAATAACTTGAAATAAATTTGGTTTGAGATGCGACGATGCTATTAAATAGGTGTCCTGAAAAATTCAACAAGCATGCCATTGAGTACCTAGGTAGGTAAGCTACCTAAGATTTTTAAAGAGTAGCGAATNTATAAAAAGATTTTAGCAATTTATTTCACAAAATCAATTGCGCACATTTAAAATAAAGTTTGTTTACACTTTGACAACAATAGACTGACATGCAAGGTGACATGTCAATGAAGTTTTCAGTTACTGTTGCCATTAAAAGAAATTAGTACCATTAATTTTCCGCAACATGGCGAGGGTTTTTATGTTCCTGGTCAGGCTATACCTACACTGTAATTTTTATTCGTATCCCCGGTGTAGTACAGAAAAATGCAGATTCATTACAATGCCGCAAGCAGCTAAGTAGTCAATTATCAAGCGGCATAAACGAACACAACCTTGTTGCGAACGTGCAGAGCCGACGCGGTCCGTCTGCGCGCAACAGGTAGGCAATCCCCGCCTAAGCCGGATTCTGTTTACGACCCATCTAACTAATACTTTCCACGTTACTCCTGCTATTATCAACTATGTATTTTATGTTTTCACACTTATAACGTCCATCCATATAAAGTTCATTCTATTTAGACAAAATACCTATTCAATTGAATTTATAGCAGTCATATTCCACGGTAATTGAACATAACAACAAGGAAAATTCCCCACCATTTCTTTTGCACTATTACACGTAAATACCACACTTGATAAGCGTTATAATCTAATATATGCAGTATAAGTTTAATCTGTTGTTCACAATAAATTGTACAGATTATAGTTATATTGCGCCATGGAATACAATACGCGAAGCTTTAAACATTTCAGAAGCTTTAAAATTTCAAATAGCTCTCAAAACTTTGTATCGTTGGCGTTGCTCTTTTCAGTATCTCTTTGTTTTTATTTTTACTAAAAAGACTTGACAAGTTCGATGATAAAAATAAATTCAAGTGATACGTGGTAAAGGTATAAACAATTTATGACGTTACTACTCCATTTAATATGTCGATAAACAATACAAGGTAAATTAGTATCTTTTCCATCAACCTATTGATTGTTTTGAATGAGTAAATGTTTACAAGAAATGCATAAGGTGTGAGTGAAACGCCGATAGTCAACAGTCATATGACACCGCATTACGGAGTATTTCTATGCGGCGAGTGTTTGCTCGCCTTCAGTCTACGGCGCATAGATAACAACACATTATGGATTGCCCAGGGCCTCCAGGGCTACCAACTAATAGTGACCCGGTCGTTTGTGTGGAAATCGGACCTTGAATCAAAATCTGTACTAAATATTTGCGAGAGTATCATTCATCCATACTCACAAACTTTTACGATGTAAACAACGCGGCCGCTTATCAAGCCAAGTTATTATATTATAAATTAGAGGGTTTAATCTGTTTGTGTGTAAATGTCAGGTTTTAAATAACTTGAAATAAATTTGGTTTGAGATGCGACGATGCTATTAAATAGGTGTCCTGAAAAATTCAACAAGCATGCCATTGAGTACCTAGGTAGGTAAGCTACCTAAGATTTTTAAAGAGTAGCGAATTGCCGGTTAATTGGCCATTCGGTTGAAGTATTTACTGTAGGCATATTACTTTTTGTGGGACCCCTAAGTTTATAACATTTGTAACTCGGTCTCGGAGATAGGAATATTTGACATATTTTAAAGGAACACTTATTTTCAACTTTATTCACTTTCCAGAACGGTAGGTTTTTGCTCGCTGTCGTTATGATAACTGTCTATGCATATGGTGCATAAGTGAACTAACAATTATGCGACATGATGACACACTAACATTTATAATGACGCTTACATTTATATACAACGTTTTACGCATGCAATATTTGTACTAACCTTTCATATTTTTGCAACTCCAGCTTAGATTACCTAAAGAACGTCAACGATTGAAACAATAAAGTACCTAATATACTTCCTAGAATAGTCACACACTACCATATTCTAGATTTACTTAAAAGAGATCTAAAGCCCGGTCCGTGAGCACATAGAATTTTGTCCAATGACCCCTAGCTATCCTTATCGCTCGCGCGTAATTAAGTATATTGCTGTCGCGACTGTGCGACTGGCACCCGCGGTGAGTGTGCGAGCGCGATAGCAACATAATTACGCGCGAGCGATAAGGATGGGTAGCTAGGGGTCATTGGACAAAATTCTACGTGCTCACGGACCAGACTATACACGCATATTGTGTTGTTTGTTATTGTGCACCGACTGTACAAGTCCCAAAGCCCACAGGTAGGAACTTGTTATGACCTGATGTTACGTCACTTATTTAGTGTAGAACTGCTGGCGTGACGGCAATCATGACAGATAACCTAGCTCAAGGATAAATCTATGGGACAAATGAAGGGAAAAGCAGGGGAGGACACTTACCTATGGCGACGCTGCAGGTGCTGAGGCAGTCCTCCTGCGAGAGGAAGTTGTTGCGGTTGCCGCGGCAGCCGCCGTAGTGGAAGGGCGCGCACATGCCCTTGGCCGCCACGAAGGCCCACCGCTGGTACATGCCGCGGCACGGGCCCTGCTCCGGCTCCTCCATGCAAATGCCTGCAGCCACAAACAACGCATTACACTTCGGATCAACATTGGCTGATGACTGCCCAAGCCCACCAAAATATGGAAACATTACGCACCCAGACGATATTTCCTAGTATTTCCCGAGAATCAGCGTCGTCACATGGTTAGGTTCAAATCAAGAATGTCTAGGCCGCCTAGCTCGGACAATAACTCGCAGCACCGTCCTAAAGACTTTGGGAGGACACCGTCAGGTTTTAGTGAGTAGGCCCTGCCCATCTGGCAGGGAGAGCCTATCCCACATTCAAGTGGAAAATAATATTCTAACATTCCTAATAACCAACAATAATGTTGATGTTTGACGACACTAATCCGCCACGAGTTTTCGCTCCGTTACAGGTTTTACCAGTAACTTGTAATCCTATTAACATTTTCGAAATACGACGTCACAATTCGCAGTTCTAATAATGTTACATTAAATAACATAGATTAACAAACAGATAATTTAAAATACAATATTTACATACAAACGAAATACGAGTGTCAAGATAACGAGGTATTTCCCGGCAAACAAACCCATCCTCTGAAAATAAAACCGATTATTTTATGGTTTTGCATTAAGGGGATTTGCCGATACTCGCCACGCTTGGCAGGCGGGTTGGCGAGCGCAGTTTTTTGTAAGTGGACCGACGACATCGTAAAGGTAGCAGGGAAGCGCTGGACGCAGACCGCTGCCAATCGATCAACATGGAAAGCATTGGGGGAGGCCTATGTTCAGCAGTGGACGTCCTATGGCTGAAATGATGATGATGATGATGATTTTATGGTTGTAATAATAAATTGTACAAACTATAAGTTTGACGTGATTTTTGATTAACAAATCAATTATCAAAACAAAGGTGTCCTTGTTACTTTACTAAAATACTAGTAGAGTGTAATCAAACCGTGAGAAGAAAATATTCCGTTGCGCAAATTAAATCTAGCCTAGTTTATGAAACTCAGTTGCAATCAATGACTGTTTACACAACCTCTATCCTCGCAATCAGTAACTTGTGACGATGTCTAGATTTGAGTTTCATTATCATGTCCGTTTCTCTGCGATTTGTATAAAAATACACATTGTTTACAAGCGCGTTTATTGTTCTCTTCTTCCTGTTATACTTATCATTGTTAGCGTGTCGCCTTGAAATTAATTAACCTAAAATTTTGTAATTGCCAAATTCTCTACCTATAAGTAGAATATCCTTGCTTGCATGTATCTTTTAACGTTTCGATAAGATTCACAGAATCCAATGTCGAATTTAATTTAAGGCCGGGTAGCAGAGAAAATGGCGAAAATGAAGTTTTCATTTTTCATTTTTGAGGTACTAAACAGNTAGCCGGCGCGGAACTTCCGGAAGGTCGGGTGACGCCACGCCTCTTTGAACCGTGTTTACTTTGGCAGTTATATTCTAAATTTATTCGATTCTAAAATATATTCCCAAAAATTTTGAAAGTTGTTTTAATTTGTATCACTTGGATATGATTTGTATTAGAAAGTGCTGTGAGTGTGACGCTTGAACGGAAGGAAGTCAACCTAACCTAACCAACTGCGTATTTCTATACTGTGTTGCCGCGAGAGCTCTTTGGCGCGCTGTCTTCGGCGAAGTATTGCGCGCGCAGATTTTGACAGCGCGAAATACCTACTTTAGCAGAAATACCAAGCTTTAAAGTAAATTAAATGTTGTATTTTAATTTATCTGTGTAAGGCCCGGTTTCCAAGGCGGAGCGGAGAAATGTTTTGTATCAGATTTCATTCGGATTGGATGAAATTGACAGAATGAAATCTGACACGTAGTGTTTTCTATAATCAAATCATTAAATAAACAATTTGAAATTTCAATAAATTCTATTAAACATAAATAATACCGCAATTGGAACGTGGAACTCATGAAAATTCATTAGATAACACAAAATATCGGGTTTTTAGCAGTTCAGAGAACTTCATCCTTTGCCATTATTCTTTTCCAATTAGCTTTTGTAAAAATCAGAATTCATTAACATGTAATTGCACTTTTTTAATTATTTACGTCACCAGCTCACTGGGAAATCATTTAAAATAACGCAAAAGTAAATTTTCCAGCGATTATCGTGGATGTCTAGCGTTTAGAAACACGACTTCAATTAGCATTTGTCAAAATAAAACAAAGCATAAACGATGAAAAGACTGACTAAAGAGTCTACAAATAATCATAATAGCGTAATTAACTTCCAAATTATGTTGAACAAATGTGTGTCTTTTATTTTAAGCTAAAAAGTTATCGAGACTCTTTAGCGGCTCGTCGTTATCACGTTTTGTGTGGTGTGCAGTTTCGGAACACACACACATATTATCATCACCAACATTACTAATTTGGCTTACCTTAATAGAGCTCGAAAAATGTATGCTGGGGCCGGCCTGGGACTCCTTCTACCAATGGAACTCTTTTGAAGTTAGTTGGATCGGAGCGGTTAGGGCTTTTTTTTTCGTCAGGACTATACATAAATTTGTATATCCACCTGTCGAGGGGGCTGCTAGTTGGCTGCTATGTGGCGTTCTGCCTGCCAGAAGGGCTTGGCCTACCCACTAAAAACCTGACGTTGCCCTTGGTAAGCAATATGAGTCGGGAACGCGGAATCCCTATCGGCGTTTTGCCTCAAGCATTCGTTCGCGTTCAGGACCGGTTAGGGTTCATTTCTTCTGGGAAAGGCTCATTGTTAGGGTCTGACTAGACTTCAGATAGAGTCGTCTAGTTTCAAAACCCGCTAAAACGCTCCTGCAACTAATTTCTGTTTATATCTCTAAATGATGCTACTGCAATTTTCTCATCTTACTGTTCAATCATTTTCGATCAAAATACACTAAAAGACTACTAAACTAGCACTTAAAATTAGGTTTGTGTTACAAACTCCGCTAAAACGATGTCCGTTTCTTTCAAAACCCTCTAAAAGTTGATTGACCAATGGTAGCACGGTATTTTGGTCACGTGACTACGAAATCAGTATGGAGATTTTTTATAACGTGGTTGCTTCATAATTTGCTCTTATCAAATCCCGCTAAAATACAACATGTCCGTTTCAAATCCCATTAAAACCGAATGTTCGTAACAAAATACGCCAAAATGAAAATAGTTTTCATTATAATTCAAATTATATTTAATTTAAAGATAAATAGCAATTGCTGTTAGTATTGCCAGATGACAATAATAATTCGTATCATATTTTTTTTTGCCTAAGGCCAGAGCTATATGGATAAGCGGTTTTTTTCAATTTCTCGAAATCTTATCAAAATCGTTTTAGCGGGATTTGAAACTAGACGCCTCTATATAAATTAAAGGCGGACTGTATTTCATAGGTATAATGATTGTAATATATGTCGCTAGTTCGCGCCTACGTGGGAGGGCCGCGTCTGACACCGGTGACGGTCGAGAGGCTGAGTGGGCGTCGGGTACGTACGGAGTGTGCCGGCGCCTCGCGCGGAGCCGATGATGGCCGATCGATGTCGATGAAGCCCGAGGACCCGAGAAGCGCCAACACTCATCATATCTGCTGCTCGGGCGCGTGCAGGACTCACGTTTGGCGGTGAGCGCGTCGACGGCGCACGAGTCGCGCTCGGAGCAGGCGCGCTGCTGCAGCAGCTCCACGGCCTGGGAGCAGCGCGCCTGCTGCTCGGGCGGCACCAGGCGGGCGCGTGCAGGACTCACGGGGCTCATCATATCTGCTGCTCGGGCGCGTGCAGGACTCACGTTTGGCGGTGAGCGCGTCCACGGCGCAGGAGTCGCGCTCGGAGCAGGCGCGCTGCTGCAGCAGCTCCACGGCCTGGGAGCAGCGCGCCTGCTGCTCGGGCGGCACCAGGCGGGCGCGTGCAGGACTCACGGGGCTCATCATATCTGCTGCTCGGGCGCGTGCAGGACTCACGTTTGGCGGTGAGCGCGTCCACGGCGCAGGAGTCGCGCTCGGAGCAGGCGCGCTGCTGCAGCAGCTCCACGGCCTGGGAGCAGCGCGCCTGCTGCTCGGGCGGCACCAGGCGGGCGCGTGCAGGACTCACGGGGCTCATCATATCTGCTGCTCGGGCGCGTGCAGGACTCACGTTTGGCGGTGAGCGCGTCCACGGCGCAGGAGTCGCGCTCGGAGCAGGCGCGCTGCTGCAGCAGCTCCACGGCCTGGGAGCAGCGCGCCTGCTGCTCGGGCGGCACCAGGCGGGCGCGTGCAGGACTCACGGGGCTCATCATATCTGCTGCTCGGGCGCGTGCAGGACTCACGTTTGGCGGTGAGCGCGTCCACGGCGCAGGAGTCGCGCTCGGAGCAGGCGCGCTGCTGCAGCAGCTCCACGGCCTGGGAGCAGCGCGCCTGCTGCTCGGGCGGCACCAGGCGGGCGCGTGCAGGACTCACGGGGCTCATCATATCTGCTGCTCGGGCGCGTGCAGGACTCACGTTTGGCGGTGAGCGCGTCCACGGCGCAGGAGTCGCGCTCGGAGCAGGCGCGCTGCTGCAGCAGCTCCACGGCCTGGGAGCAGCGCGCCTGCTGCTCGGGCGGCACCAGGCGGGCGCGTGCAGGACTCACGGGGCTCATCATATCTGCTGCTCGGGCGCGTGCAGGACTCACGTTTGGCGGTGAGCGCGTCCACGGCGCAGGAGTCGCGCTCGGAGCAGGCGCGCTGCTGCAGCAGCTCCACGGCCTGGGAGCAGCGCGCCTGCTGCTCGGGCGGCACCAGGCGGGCGCGTGCAGGACTCACGGGGCTCATCATATCTGCTGCTCGGGCGCGTGCAGGACTCACGTTTGGCGGTGAGCGCGTCCACGGCGCAGGAGTCGCGCTCGGAGCAGGCGCGCTGCTGCAGCAGCTCCACGGCCTGGGNATACTTTTTAAATACCTACATATTATACATAGTAACACCCAGACCCGTCACAGAAATTAAAATTCATCATTTCAATTTCTGCCCGGCCGGGAATCGAACCCGGGACCTCTCGGCATAGTAGTACCTTTTAGAACTACTACACCAAACGGCTGACAAATAATTAATTAATTAAATTAATTATTAGTGAAAAATAAGTTGCATTTTTATATCAGTAATATTCCATAAACCAACATAACACAAAGCCACAAACTAAAAATATTATGATTTTTTAGTACTAGCTTCGACCCAACCGACTTCAGAAAGTACATATTATTTTAAACCAAGATTTCGCAGAATTTCAGCTCTAAAAATGCAAAGTAATTATCTCTATTTAAGTAATACCTATTCGTTAGCAACTTTTTGCATAAAAACATACTCAACAACCACGGATTATCATAAAAAAATGCGATTTACTAACTACGTGTTGGTGAGCCGTCCATACCGCCGGCCATTTTTCAAAAAATCCCATCTGTCAATTATGACAGCCAATGGTAGCATACCGGAAACTGTTCCCTAATATTTCGTTCAGAAATTGAATTAAATTATTTCTTTAAGCCGCGAAATTTCAGAGTTTAATAATATGGCCTTCTAAAAGGCGCATGAGCGGTAATTGAAAGTTAGTTGAAAAAAGTTCTGGGCTGTAGTCGCCATGTTTATTTTGGGTTATCAAAAGGCGCGTGGGCGCTACGAGGGTAGCTAAAGGTCTAAGCTGTAAGATAGAAGAATCTTCTAGCCAAAAAGATGGCAGATGCAGCAGATGTCAACGGATTTAAAACTGGAGTTTATATGACTCCTTGTAGACTTGAGTCTCTAGAGCGTCCCTTCCTCCACCATGCGTAAGAATGTTTCAAAAATACTGTCTAAGGTCTATAGCTGTTTTTTTTTGTAACCTTTATAATTTGGTCGGCTTATAGAAGAATTCCTGATATTTTTTTGCAGTTCGATAACTTTCTTATAAGTCGTAATTGTAGGAGATTGGGATAGGAACGGGATGGGATACCTTCGATTGAGCAGACTCCACAGGACGGTCCAAGCTTGGTTCATCTTTCACTTTCACAAACACTTGAATTTTATTGAGATGAGTTTAGCGCGCGATTTGTGTTTATTTGAATTGGTTTATTTTTGGATACTTATTTATTATTAACGCCCAGATAGGTAGGCGAAGCGGCGCGTTGCGATGCTAGAGCGAGACTGAAGGTGAGAGGGAGAGGATAGGAAAAGGACTGTCAGAATGAGTGATAGAATAGTGTGACATGAGTTTGAAATGTATGAGGTTTTAATGCTGGCGCGTACAGTAATATAAAGCTGAAATTAACAGGATAGCTTATTCAAGGAACATTTTAATTTGTCCATTGTATGCCATGTTCCCTTGTTATAAGGGAATCGCGTATTCGGCCACGAAAGTAAGACTGTTAAAATAAATTAGATTTCTAGACATCATTTATATTTACTGTGGTTATAAAGGTGTACCAAGGGTACATGCTACACCTTTTTATTCGATTGTAAGAGTACTGGTTTACTCACAAATCCGTTTTATCTGATTTTCGAAATCTTTTAATTACACTGGTGTTTATCATTCAAATCAATGACTAATGTTTGAACTAATTTGGACATAATATCAAGGTGTATCATTGGTATTTTTTTNTCTGCTGCTCGGGCGCGTGCAGGACTCACGTTTGGCGGTGAGCGCGTCGACGGCGCAGGAGTCTCGCTCGGAGCAGGCGCGCTGCTGCAGCAGCTCCACGGCCTGGGAGCAGCGCGCCTGCTGCTCGGGCGGCACCAGCAGCAGGCGCGTGCGGAAGGCCACGCCGCGCCCGCACGAGGCCGAGCACGGCGACCACGCCGCCCACTCCGACGTGGGGCACGACGGGTCCGAGATGTCGTGCTCCACCTCCGTGCACTGCGGCTCCATGCACTTGCGGTTCTCCTCTGCGGGAGAGAATCAAAAGTTAACAATTAAAACAAAGCGAGCCACTCCACGGTTCGCACGTTACGCAACAGCGTGTATGGAGAAAATTTTATGTGATACGCACGAGTAATATGAGATTCATCATCATCATCATCAACAGCCCTTTACAGTCCACTGTTGGACTATGAGCCTCCTCCACTATAGTGGAGGGTTTTGCCATAATCCCCACGCTTGGCAGGCGGGTTGGAGATCGCAGTTTAAAAGATTGATGATTTTCAGAGAGCGCTGCTGCCCGTTCTCTGTTTGATGTGTAGTCCCTAAGTCGCCTCTTACGACACCCGCGGGAAGAGTAGGGGTTGGTGACAAAAGTATTCTACTCTGCCGTCACCACACGGCAATATGAGATTATCGATGCCCAACAATGAACCGTCCCAGCTGTGACATTGTCAGGAGGGCGCTACTATCTGTACTGAATTATTAGTTCCGATTTTTGCCACGTGGACAACCCTAAAATTATGACATTTACAGGAGGGCGCTACTATCAATACTGAGTTGTTAGTTTTTTATTTTTGCCACTTGACGTTTCATAATCTTTGGACTAACTATAGACAGAATAGCTTTATATGGCGTGCTGGCGACAGATTTAACGGACTGAGTAAGGAACTAGATATTGATTTATTCTATACTAGCATACCAGCGCCTAGGCGGCTGCTGAGCGAGCGTTTTTTCAAGCCTATCATGTAGATTTTTTTATATCGTGTTGTTTATTATAAATATGAGGCGGGAAGTCTTAATATGGTTAAATTACTATCTCTTTAATACAACATTAGGTGTATCGTGTATCATATTAATTTTATCTGTTTTTTTATAATTTCTTTAAATATCCACCACAATTCTATGTGTGGGGACCTATAAGTGGTTATCAAGTGTTATTAATTGTAAAATAATCAATTATGTAAACCCTGGTCTTCCTAATATGAATAAATAATGTTACATTAACGTCTTATGTGGCACAGGAGGTCATAATACCACTAACAGTGATGATAATACCACTCACCGATGGGCACGAGCGGGCACTTCTTGGGCCCCATGCGGTCGAGGAAGTGCCTGCGGCGCGTGGCCACGCCCACGCCGCACGTGACCGAGCACTCGCTCCACGCGCCCCATTCGGACGTGCGGCAGATTCCCTGGTCTTCAACTGCGCCCAGGGTTAGGTCTTCCTCGTTGTCGGTCGCGTTGTCGCCTCTGAGAGAGAATTTGTAATAAGATAAGGATGAAGAATGGTTTTGTACTTGGGAGAGGACATGAGCTGTCAACCAGAAGATTAGGAATCAAATTGGAACCTTTGATAGAGGTGATTGTACAAGCCAACATAAACTTATAGATCGGTATTCAATGTTAATCTTCATATATGTGGTGTATTGAGTTACCGATAGATGGCGCTGTGTGTACATTGAATCGCGGTATGTAAGTTTTAGACGGCCCTTCTACATATTTTGGTTCGGAATAAATGAGACTTGCCACTGGAATCTTCGTTTTATTCAAGTTCCTACCTGTGGGCTTTGGGACTTGTACAGTCGGTGCACAATAACAAACAACACAATATGCGTGTATAGTCTGGTCTGGGAGCACGTAGAATTTTGTCCAATGACCCCAAGCTACCCATCCTTATCGCTCGCGCGTAATTATATTGCTGTCGCGACTGTGCGACGCGCGCCCGCAGTGAGTGTGCGAGCGCGACACCAACATAAATTACGCGCGAGCGATAAGGATGGGTAGCTTGGGGTCATTGGACAAAATTCTACGTGCTCCCGGACCAGACTATAATGACTCACTCGCACTCTGCAACGGCTGCGACGCACATCTCCTTGGAGACGAGCTGGCGGTCGCAGGCGAACATCTGCGCCTTCTGCGGCATGCGGTACTGCCGCGTGCGCATGCGCAGCCCCTTGCCGCACGCCACGGAACACGGCGACCACGCGCTCCATTCCGACACCGCGCACTCCGCTGCGAGCGAGACAAAATAAACATGATGGAATTAAAAACTACCCTTTACTTTTCTCCCCTTAATTTTACCTGGTCAAAAGACCCTTTTGCCTACACATGGTCCCTATTATAAAACACCCTCCCCCTCCTAACATCTGGCCGACGAACACTTACGGAGAAGGGCGCCGGTGGAGTGAGCTCGCCTACAACTTACATCGGTCAACTGTCAGGGAGTAGTCGACCTTATCCACGAGTTGCGCTAGCAGTGTAAGAGCGTGGGACGAGCTTTTTTCGTGAAGTAGAGGCGCGCCATGGGAGGCACTTCTGCGGCCCCGGGATATTGTAGTAGGGTACCTGTCGTGAGCTTACCCACAAGATACCTGATAATACGCAACTTACGTCGCTCAGCTGCCGGGGAGGTCTCGACCTCCTCCAGCAGCGCGTCCTCGTCGCAGGAGCGCGGGACGAGTTTCTCCCGCGTGAGGTACAGGCGTGCCATAGGAGGCACCTCTGACGCCCCCGGGTTGTAGAAGGAAGAGTGAGCTTGTCCACAAGATGCCTGATATATGACTTACGTCGCTCAGCTGCCGGGGAGGTTTCAACTTCCTCCACAACCTGCGCTAGCAGTGCGTCCTCGTCGCAGGAGCGCGGGACGAGCTTCTCCCTCGTGAGATACAGGCGTGCCATGGGCGGCACTTCTGACGCGCCGGGGTTGTAGAAGGAAGAATGAGCTTGCCCAGAAGGTGCTTGATATAGTATATAACTTACGTCTCTCAGTTGCCGGGGAGGTCTCGACCTCCTCCACGACCTGCGCCAGCAGCGCGTCCTCGTCGCAGGAGCGCGGGACGAGCTTCTCCCGCGTGAGGTACAGGCGTGCCATAAGAGGCACTTCTGACGCGCCGGGTTGGAGAAGGAAGAGTGGCTTGCCCACAAGATGCCTGTTAGTATGTGACTTACGTCTCTCAGCTGCCGGGGAGGTCTCGACCTCCTCCACGACCTGCGCCAGCAGCGCGTCCTCGTCGCAGGAGCGCGGGACGAGCTTCTCCCGCGTGAGGTACAGGCGTGCCATAGGAGGCACCTCTGACGCCCCGGGGTTGTAGAATAGAAGGACGCTGATGGAGTGAGCTGATCCTCAAGATACCTGATATATGACTTACGTCGCTCAGCTGCCGGGGAGGTCTCGACCTCCTCCACGACCTGCGCCAGCAGCGCGTCCTCGTCGCAGGAGCGCGGGACGAGCTTCTCCCGCGTGAGATACAGGCGTGCCATAGGAGGCACCTCCAATGCCCCGGGGTTGTAGAAGGAAGAGTGAGCTTGCCCACAAGATGCTTGATATAATATGTGACTTACGTCGCTCAGCTGCCGGAGAAGTCTCGACTTCCTCCACAACCTGCGCCAGCAGCGCGTCCTCGTCGCAGGAGCGCGGGACCAGCTTCTCCCGCGTGAGGTACAGGCGTGCCATAGGAGGCACCTCAGATGCCCCGGGGTTGTAGAAGGGCGCGCGCGGGTCCTCGGGGTACATGGGCGTAATGCGGTACATACGCTCGCGCGGCACCGTCTCCGAGTTCGGGGACTGACGACAAACACAAGCTTGATAAATGGGGGTGGATATAAGTACAATTTTTACATACCTAGTTTGTGTATTATTTAATGTCTTTCGAATCATGTTTATAATCCGGAATAAACTTAATATAAACTTATCTTATGCTTTTGAAATTGCAATCATCATCATCATCTTTTTCAGCCATAGGACATCCACTGCTGAACATAGGCCTCCTTCAATTTTTTCCACAATGGCCGATTGGCCATGAACTAGAAATTGTCATGGACACCCGAAAATAGGACCAAGATAAATGATAACCTAATATACCTAAACTAAAAACGTAAGTTCTCATATAACTTATACGAAAAACTTACCATATAAGAGATGCCGTTATCAGTGCCAGCGTCGTAAGGGAACAAATCGATGACTTTCGACTCGATCCAGGAACAGTCTTTCTGACAGAGATCCAGCCCAGACACTCCAACCACCCAATCCGGGGATGGGCCTAAAATAAATATGCATCCATGAAAATAATTCGTCTTTTATTTTAAAACATGAGAACCTCCTCCTTTCAGAAAACAGAAACAGTCAGTCAAAAACAGACTTGCAACGTAAGGGAGAAGCCACACGGTGCGGTGCGGTTGCGGCGCGGCGCCGGAGCGGTGCCGTTGCGGCATCCTGCATATAAAAATCAATGATATGCCAGACGGTGCGTTCCGGCGCCGCGCCGCAGGCACACCGCACTTCGATTGAGCGAGACGGTGCCGTTGCGCCGTCGCATACCACATGTGTACAAGGATGGCAAACGGTAGCGGTGGTGTGGCTTCTCTCTAAATGTTTCTTACCAAACATAGAAGCCAGCGAGACCAGATGCCTCTTGCGGTCGACCGTGAAGACGGCGGTGGTGTTGGAGTTGACCCGCGGGTGCCACAGGCCCTGCGCCTTGATGATGGAGCGCAGCAGCTTGCCTTGTTGACGCAGCTCCCGCTCCTGAAGCCCTATGGAGCCCCACTCGGCTAGCGATCTGAGGGAAAAGAACATACGAGACCCTTTTTATTACTCTCTAATCTTCTGATTCTGGACAAACCTCAAGAGGATTTAAGACACTATTTAAATCAAAGATATAACGGATAAATAATGTAATAATAAATAAATAAAATCTAAACTCCTTTAAGAAGTCATTTCATTTAGACTAGGCGCAGACCACCGATTTTTGGTTGGCCGATAGTTGGGCCCGATTTTAATTTGTATGAATCGGCCAAATCAAATCGGTGTAATGTGCGCACTTCCATACATGCCCATACTGATGAACTGTCCGACTAAAAATCCATGGTCTGCGCCTAGGCTTATCAATATTGATCTATAGGACAGCAAAAGACAATAAAGTCGTATTTCTATTCCTTTTAAAATGAGAAAAGATCCTCATAGAAAGAGTCATTTATGGCTCAAATAAATAAAAAACGTATTTTTTTATTCACACGACGGAAAAACTCCTGGCCTGGATCTCAATTGAAAGAAAGCAATGATTAGAGCGAAGGTGAAAGAGAGCTTCATCTTCCACTATCTTCTACCATCGAGGATGTAGAAAGCAAAATATATAGTCAGTGTAAATAAATGGTCGGGACCAGGCTGCAATATAAATACCTGAAGCCGTCGGTGGCGATCTGCCCCTCGCCCCAGAAGGAGAAGTTGGCGGGGTGCGTGGCGCCGATGATGTCGGAGAAGTGCGTCAGCCACAGCGCCTGCACAGGGAAGTCCTTCGGGTGCGTCTGCGCCGACCACAGGCCCTCGAACACCATCTACCGACACCACATCGTGACGTAAATAACAGGTGTGCTACTTGTCTCAACAACCTATAAATGGGACTATTCCCACCTCTCATTCCCACCGCTGCAACTTCTGTGTAGCCAGGATCTACAACTTGACCGCCAATAAAAACCCAACTAATGAAGGTCAAGTTTGTCCCAACAACCTATAGAAGGTTTCATCATCATCAAAAGAAAGAAAGTATAATTACATTGAATTTCCAATGCAGAAGGACGTGTGCGACGTTTGAGAATATTTGATTATATCGAGGGACGATTCCTCCGATCATGCAGGTCTATTCAAGTACGAAAGAGGGAAAATAAGAAACTGAAAGGAAAGCAGTACTATCTGTTACGGCCTAGTCTGAAATCTCGGAGGAATTAAGTAACTAAGTAGCTAGTACAAGTGGCGCAGGACCGGTCTTTGTGGAAATCCTTGGGGGAGGCCTTTGTTCAGCAGTGGACGTCTTTCGGCTGAAACAAACGAACGAACAAGTGGCCCGTACCTTGTACTTGGCGTCGTCGCAGGCGCAGCAGGTGGGCGCGGAGACGGCGGCGTCCTCGCACACGCGCTTGGTCAGCTGCCCGTCCTCCGCGAACCAGCGGCTCTCATTCTCGTACACCATCGCTCTGCAGACCAAACATTATGAGGGCTATCGTTTTAGCGCTCACCAGTTAGCGCCACTGTAGAGTAAGGTCCTGTCACTTGCTAGTAGCGAAGACAGTGGCACCAACTGGTGAGCGCTAAAGTGGTAGGAGGACTATCGCATTTGCACTCATTAAGATGGCGCCACTGTAGAGTAAGGTCCTGTCAATCGCCAGGGGTGCCAACTGTTAAGTATAAAAACGATAGCCCTCATTACAATGATATTATCTGAATGTGACTTGAAAGAAAGCGGCTCCTGCTGCGACTGGGAGTGCCTGCCTATTTAACATTGTTACAAAAGAAACAACTAAAGACGAGTATGTATCAACATTGTGATGTCTCGCAAAGCTGTTTGCGATTTTGCTCGTTTGATGCACCACGAGTAAGCCTCGCGAGCCGCCTCGCAATGTTGATACAAGGATGCACATAAAGATAACATAACATCTTTGACGGATGCACTCACTTGAGCAGCACGCATCCGGAGCCCGCGGGCGGGGCCTTCCACATGACCTGCACCTCGGTCTTGGGCAGGTCGTCGGCCTCGACGACGGAGTTGACGCACTCCTCGTCGAACCTTGTCAGCGTGTCGGCGAACAGCTGGAACTGGCCCTGGCGCGAGGGCGCGCGCGGCGCCGCCGGGTCCAGCGGCTCCAGAGTCACCTTGAACCGCGTGAACTGCTGCACCACGTCGTGTGTGCGCGACCCAACCAGGGTCACTGCGATAAACGATCCTCTTTAATCGATATACTAGTATAAGGGGTTGGAGAATCAAACTACACTGGTCATCACAAAAATCGACCCTCCCGCGACAAGCACTTTCAAACGTATGCATTCCCACTTCCCACCAATATTGGCACCATTTAAAAGCCTAGTTCTAAACTTCATTTCATTAAAGGAATGGTTTTTACCCTAAAAAATGTGTCTGTAGAAGAATCCAGAGTCACTTCTTCAAAAAATAGGTAGTTACGCTTGAGCCAACTTTTATGGCTATAAAACTGTTAAGTTGGGATTAATCGCTATCCATCTGTTAAAGAGGACACGTGAGATCATTATTTGGTTTTATAACCATAAAAATTGGTCTAATTGATCCCAGAGGTGAGCCCAAAGTGAGGTCTTTTTTCAAGTCACATATATTGTATATCGCGTTTTATGTTAATCGTTTATTAATAAATTAAATGTGTTTTTCTTTAAGGATATTTATTGGGCTTTCAAATAACACCAATATTGTTGGGGCACCATGATTGTGTCAGTAGAAACGAGTTTTCCTGTAAAACGTAAGTGGGCTGAGTTTTGTGATGACCAGTATAGTTTACTTCGATAATAATGTGTGTAAAAATCGCATTTTTTGAGTTTATGGCGTCAGAAAACTTGCTCATGTCAATGCACTTTTATTGTATTGTTATCATTTTTACTGTCCAGTGTTCCAGTTATTAAACAGTAATAACATGTAAACGATAAAATTACAAGAAACTTATCAATTGTTTTACTAAACATATTTTATAGTGTAGATAGTGGAATTTTGCAACATGTTAACTGAACAACTAAGCTTCTGTTCTGGAAAATTATCTCTGGTAACATTACCAATAAAAATGTGTATTATGAGCCCTAGATTTCAATGTATTACTTAATGAATCAACTGTATGATATGTAGGCATACAAATATAGGAGCAAAAAAGAACTTAGACTTAATCCGAGCCTGAAAATTCATGTGAATCTAAAATAAATGAATCTTCCAAGGCTGTGGTGGTCAAGCACTCACCCACGTAGCGCTGGCCGGGCGCATAGCGCTCCACGTCGCCGTTGAGCAGCAGGCGGTAGAAGTTGTCGCCGGGGCTCTGTGCGCCCGCGCCGGCCGGCCGCAGCGGGCACGCGCGTGCTGCCGCCAGCAGCGCGCACCACAACACCAGCTTCATGCGGACCATCTCACAACACACTGCAACTTCTAATTAGTTAGAAAAACTACTTAATATCTCCACCATTAGTTAGTTCCCTTCCTGACCACATATCACAGGCACGGGAGCGGCGCTTTACAACCACTGCCTCCTGCCCATACACTGTCATAGAACCTACAAAATACTACGACAAATCATGAGATTATTACATCTATAAAGACATTTCTGTACAATAAATGTACGTCATCGTGTTTTATGAAATTGTTGACACGCATGATGATAATTAGAACAAAGAGCTTTCGTGCTTCATCTGTGTAAAATCCGAAATTAACCTACTAAGTTGGTTACACACTCAAAGGAGTTTAATTTATTCGAAAAACTGATTTACTCTTATTATGAATCTGTGCCAGAAGCTTCCAGAAAATATATTTACTTACAGGGAGAGTGCGCTTGCGACAAAGTCCCGCCGCAGAGTGCGGTATCTGCGCCGGCGCAGATAAAGGGTCAAGAGTCGCCGCCCGCAGGCGGTCATCATATTATTACGATGAGCTAATTACACGCTTGTCAAAAACATTGCAAAACACGGCGGTCCAATGCAAACATTCTGATAAGCACACAAAATGCTAATAAAGCAACTTCCTCCATACTAAAAAGGAGGCCAAAAATATTCCACAAATTCTGCGGTCCTAATCGCATTTTCAATTCAACTCACAACTTATTTCTCTTACTGCAACTTCTCATCATTTGTTCAAGATTACCAAAGCATTATCTCTGATTGTGGAAGTATCTGCATATTCTAATTAAGTAGAACATTGTTTTTAAAGCAATATGAAATGGTGTTGCAAGTTGCAAACTAAGTGAATCAATGTTGAATGAATCTAAGATTTATTTTAGGATATCGATTCGGACCCGGTTACGAAACATATCTCCGCCTGTGCGTTGCCGAGCCATAGCTGAGCTAGTAACCTTCTACGGGAAGGGCTGCCCTAATTGCGGTGACGTCACGGTCGGGCCTGGACAACTGCCTGTGTAGTAACCGGCGGGGTCAAGGCTGCTCCAATGGGAACGAGGTGCGAACAAAGTAGTCCGTCCCCGCGCCTGCTACACACATCAAACTAATGCTAACAACATTAAGAGCACCGCAAATCTAGGTAGGCGGCAACTTAGTTACATAAACAGAAGTAGTAGGTATCGCTTGCATATTATACCGTAGGTTATGATTATACAGTCTCAGCTCTTACCAGATGGCAGGATAATTGAGACATTAAAGTGTCCGCCCACTAATCTACCCAGAAAGAATTGACATTGTTTACAAAATCTAAGAAATATTTCAGAAAAATAATGTAAATCTAGGTAGTCCGAATTACGGCCGTAATAGCAATTTCTGGGTGTCAAAATTTCCGACGATACCGGTAGCCATTAGGCAGGAGCGAGCCATCCATCAAGCGCGACGCGTGCGCGCCCGGACCTGCTCGTCATCGCGCGGTCATCTGCGCGCGCAGACTTGACAATTGCTCTCAAGTAAACAAGGTTTAATATGGCGTCAGATATACGGGCTATGTAGACAAAAATCCCCAAATCCTACTAATCCTACTAATATTATAAAGGCGAAAGTTTGGATGTCTGGATGTCTCTTTTACGCAAAAACTACTGAACGGATTTTGTTGAAACTTTACAGTATTATTGTTTACTAGCGGCCGCCCGCGACTTCGTACGCGTGGATCCCGTTTTACCCCCTTCATCTATCTTACGCGGTTTAGATTTTTTCATACAAATGTTTTTTCCCGCTAACTCCCGTTCCCGTGGGAATTTTGCAATATCCTGTTGTAACTAAGCTTTGAGTTTACTAAGGTACCTGCATGCCAAATTTCAAGCGTCTAACTTAAGCAGTTTAGATTTTTCATACAAAAGGATTTTCCCGGAAATTCTCGTGCCCGTGCGAATTCCTAAGTATCCTATAACCTGCCCAGGAGTACGAAGAATAATTGTACCAAGTTTCGTTAAAATCCGTCAAGTAGTTTTTGTTTCTATAAGGAACATACAGACAGACAGACAGACAGACAGACAGACAAAAATTTTACTGATTGCATTTTTTGGATCAGTATCGATCACTAATCACCCCCTGATAGTTATTTTGAAAATATATTTCATGTACAGAATTGACCTCTCTACAGATTTATTATAAGTATAGATAACCCAGATTAACATATAGGCTATAATTTATGACGATATGTGACAAATACATTTCAATAAATATATAAGACGTGTCAAAAAGCGCCAAATCTATAGCGCAGGACAAACTACTGTCTTTGACGTTCGTAAATATTCGTGCGGGGAAGCAGTGAAACGCTATCTATCAACATTATATCTAACGAGGGTAAAACGAGGTCCACGCGTACGAAGTCGCGGGCGGCCGCTAGTTCATAACATTGTAAAAGAAAAATTACGTTTTAATTACGCATACCTAGCAAATTCTAGATTTACATGCAAGTAATATCAAATCTCAAGTCATGTACCAAATAAAAAGAGGCATAAACGTATTTACCGATCGCAAAAAATATCATATTTTTTTTATTATATTGCCAAAACGAAATCAAAATTAGAAGTTAATATTATCAAAATTCCACAGCAGTTAAAGTAAAAGGATGAGCTCACCTGTTCCTTGCCGCGTGCTGTGCGCGAGTGGCGGCGCCTACGCCGCCCGCCCGCTTGATTACCCGCTTCCTACTCATTACCAGGATCAGCGCTAAGACCGTGTCGACACGGGAAGAATGCCCGGTCGTTAACGGCTTGTTTGGCTAGGCTGGTTAAGACAGTGTGATACAGTAGTTTAAGGACCTTATGATTATGTACAAGGAACAATATCCTACTGTCTTAATTACGGTAACGTTACTCATCATTGGACGTCCGATCGTAAACTAGACCGACGACCTAATGTGAGATGCAGCAGCAGCAGGTTACTTGCCAACGGTCGCCAGTGTTTATCTTTGTTTCAATACAGTTCGCCTAGCTACGAAAATTTAGGTAGGTGAACTGTACTGAACTTTACGAGATTTGTTTAGAATCAAGAGTCATTAATTGTCAAAACTCAATACATATTAATTATTTTCTCACATATTGGTAACGAATAAAACACATTAAGCATCAACGAACACAATAATAATCATCAGTCAACAGCTGCAATTGATCATGACACAAAGAACTAACCTCATATCGTAGGGACGGGCGAAGCTCGCGCGTGACGTGAGACGTCGCCGATCAAGCGCGAGCTTCGCGGCGAACGCAGCGGGCCCCGACTTGCACGCAGCATCGCCACTTGCCGACCTACACGAATGATCACCGCTATTACTTCCCGCCAGTAAACTTNTCTGCCGGTGTGTGTATTTAACAATCGATTTACAAAAATATCATATTTGTATTATTATATTGCCAAAATGAAATCAAAATTAGAAGTTAATATTATCAAAATTCCACAGCAGTTGAAGTAAAAGGATGAGCTCACCTGTTCCTTGCCGCGTGCTGCGCGCGAGTGGCGGCGCCTACGCCGCGCGCCCGCTTGATTACCCGCTTCCTACTCATTACCGGGATCAGCGCTAAGACCGTGTCGACACGGGAAGAATGCCCGTCTGTTAAGACAATTGTTATACACTCGAAAAGTTTAAGGACCTTATAATTATGTAGCAAGTAACAATATCCTATACTTAAATTGACGAAATATTAGGGTAATTCATTATTGGACGTCCGATCACAACGACCTAAAGTAAGATGCAGCAGGTAACTTGCAATTTTCATGCAACCGGACACTAGTGTAATAGAAATTTGGGAGTATTGGCATTGTAGAGTAACAAAACTTCGATCGTTATCGTCTAGAAAAACTTAGTTTTTGTTTAAGATTTATCTAATTAATAAGTAACAAATAAAACAACATAAATAAAAACGAACAAAATAATAATCATCATCAACCAACAGTAATGGCGGATAAGACAAAGAACTAACCTCACATCGTAGGGACGGGCGAAGCTCGCGCGTGAGACGTCGCCGATCAAGCGCGAGCTTCTCGGCGAGCGCAGCGGGTCCCGATTTGCACGCAGCATCGCCACTTGCCGACCTACACCAATGATCACGGCTTATTACTTCCCGCCAGTAAACATNGTAAACTTAACGTAATATTCACGACATTCCACATTATTCAAATATGTTACACCATTTTAAACACAATTTTCTTGTTTTATGTAAAGGTGGTTTTGTTTAAACAAATAAAAATTGAAGAATTAAAATGGACGGTAACACGCAAAACTACCCGCTAAGTGAGAGAACTCTCGGCTCAGCATGCTATTGCTTAATTTTCTCAAATAAGTGAATGTAGATTCTAAACTTTAACCGTAAATATGATGTGGGAGTAAATGTACCCAAATAGGGGTAGGTTAAAATTATAATAATTATAAGTCGTATAAAATAAATTTCCAAAAGCCTAATGGCAGAACATCCTACGATTTTTAATAGTTATTCATTAATAAATGTAATAAGATTACAAATAATAACAAGATTTATACTACGTACCTTTTTTTTAATAAAACTTCGATATTTCGTCCCAATTATATGCACCATGATCACGGAAGAACAGAAGTGAAACAAATGCGGGTGGGTGATTATTGATAGATAAATAGATCTACCCTCTTTTAGAAGCATTCATCTGTGTCGAAATAACGGAGTATCGTCCAAAGACAAATACCGTTATTTTATTTTTTATTTTTATTTGAACTACGTTATTTAAACGTTAAAGGAATACGTGTATAATTTGTGTCTCATCATGACACTAATATTATTTTTTATTGTTTCAGGTAATAGTCAAGCTGCAGTGTTCATTAAGCCTATTCAGAGCAAAAGTGTACGTACCCCATCAGTAACAACCTTCAACTTGGCGAGAGGGTAAAGGATCCATTAGTTTTAAATGGTTCGTGGTACCGATAGAACATTATTTTGCTTTATGCATCGTATGATCGTACTTTGAACTTGAACAGTATTTTTTTTATTTAGTGAGAACTTAAATTCAATGGAAATACACTGCAGCTAAACAATTGTAGGATTATTTATTTCTTTATAGACATACAAATTTAACTCTCCATCTTTTGTGTATTTAATATAATGTAGGTATGTGCGTGCTTTATTCAAGGGTCAATATTTTATAGGACATTAATGAAACCAATAAAATATGCTTGCAATTATAATTTATATTCAGTCAAATTATACTAATATCAAATCATAATTTTATGACTATTTCCGACTAGAATGATTACATATCTTTGTGGTTAAAATAACTTATCGATTACAATTTCGACTTCAACGCCCTATGAAATAATCGTACACCAACCGGGCATCGAACCATGCACGTCAAGGCCCGAAGGCAGTTATACAAAAATAACGCATTTATTCGGCCATTCGAGTTCTGGAATGTGTGGGGCTCACAGGTTATCGCGCGCGCCCTACTTATCAAATCCGTCACGTTTGCGATGCTGCCTGTTATTAGCCCCTAAAACACGACTAGTTATCGTACCGACTGATCTCTTTATTAAAAAAATAAATACTTTCTTAAGTAACGAAGCTATCAAACAAAGTGACGCGAATTCTAAAAACAAAATTTAGTTTACTTTCCTCTTACATTCCTTCGACAATTATGTCCCTGTAGTCCCTGTGTAGACTGACCGGACATTTCAGAAACGGCTGATTATTTAAAACTATCAGTAACATTATTTAGTAAACATCTGCCGGTAAAAGATTTACACAGAGCTGCGTGGACAGCCTTTGCTAATGAATAGCACTAGTTCTGTCCGTTATAATCGCGCCAATTTGTTTGAGGCATATGAAACTGGTCAAGAACATGTACTCCCTGTGATTGTAATGTCATCCATTACTCTTGCAATTCCGTTAAGTCTTCCGCTACGGACCTGTAACTTCGGACTACTGTTTCTCAGTAAAAAGCTAAAATTAGGAACTCGATATATTTGTAGCACAAAAACGGAAGCGAGACGAAAATTAGGACGCACAACAAATAACTGAAAAAGAAACCATTTTCTTAATTAAAATAAAATATATAGAACCGTCAAATGAAAGTATTCCAAACATTGTGCGCATTATTCCAATCAAATTTTCTTTTTCTTTGAATACACATTGTATCAATAACATTATTTTTAAATGATACTTGTTAATGGAAATGTAGGAAGTTCGTTTTTGATCCGCAAGTCCTTTGCGCTTGTCGCAGGTTAAAACTAAAATAATTTGGACGCCGAATATAACCATACATTATTCAAATGAATACCACTTACGCTTAAATATAATGACTAGTGCGATAAATAATAATAGTAGTACATACATACAATATAAATAGCGACAGTTACACGTAACATACATATCACACGATTATTTGTTCGCCTAACTAATGATAGAGCTTTCCGAAAAGCAACACTCTCCACCATAAACCTTTTCTATTGTTGTTTCTTTCATGGAAATATCTTGCTTAATTCTCTTTTTTGCAATAAAGAAAAATCTAACATTTATTTCAGGCACATATTGTATGTTATTTCGTTCTTAAAATATTAGGCGACCGCAAACAATTTTTTTAATATCGTTATGACGTTGAGTGGGTCTTCTGGCGTTTGCGGCCAAATATTAAACATTTAATCGAGTACCGTGAGACGTTTCATTCCACTGGAGCCATCCATAAAATAGGTCTTGTATGATACTCAAAACTATTCAAATGGAATGTATAATTTACACAAAAAGAACACATATTTTTTCATCGTATTTTACGGATAGCTCCAAACAAATTCACATTTGCTTGCCGAGTTTCGTACTTTTTAAGGCCGATAATAGTACATTATATTGTAATAAGAAATAAATTAATAAATAAATGTAAATTATGTTCAGTAATAACCAAAAGTATACATAGTCCGACAGCAAATAATAGTCTTTCTATTCTGCGGAATGATTAGGCGATATCCACGTTATTTATACGTATATAGGAATCCGCTATCAAGATTTACATTTTCTTCTATTGATATGCTTGTTATACATATACTTTCATTATGTTTTGCTGCCGGGCTACTATGGATAAAAAAATAAAATGACTTATCGGATAGTATTCGACCGAGGGTGCGCGCCGGCGCACTAGAACGTCAGAATTGGCTCCTCGCGGTGGTCCAGGATGTCTGGAAAATGAGAAATCGATTACTTACTCATTCCCAAAAGTGTATACCAGTTTTCGTTTATGTATTTTGGACCTTAGTGTAGGCGCACACTAGGCGACACGCGACGACAGCTTGGCGACTAGACGTCTAATCTAGACAATTTCGGCCGTTTGGTTCGGAACGGACTTCTTTATTCCGGAGGTAGCGGGTTCGATTCCCGCACAGTACAAACATTTGTGTGCATGAACATATTATTTGTTTGTATTGGACTGGGTGTTTTCTATGTATAATAAGTATGTATTTACAAAAAAAAAGTATTTAAGTATGTTTATATCCGTTGTCTAGTACCCATAGTACAAGCTTTGCTTAGTTTGGGACTAGAAGCGCAGTGTAAAATGTCTAAGGATATTTATTTATTTATTATTATTTATTAGCTTTTCGTCGCGACTCTGCGATTCTAAAGCCAAGTGTGCGAAGCTTTAAACGAAATATATGAAACTAGCTTTCCGCCCGCGTGGAATTTTGTCTGTCACAGAAAAACTTTAGCGCGTCCCTGTTTCAAAAAACGGGGTAAATTATCCTATGTCTTTTCCCGGGACTCAAACTATCTCTATGTCAAATTTCATCAAAATCGGTTCAGTGGTTTAGGCGTGAAAGCGAGACAGACAGACAGACCGACAGATAGACAGGCAGAGTTACTTTCGCATTTATAATATTAGTATAGATTGTCGTTGAGCTGTTGCATGTCGCCTAGTGTGCGCCCGCACTTACTGTAAAGCAGTGTTTTTTTTAACCTGTCGCGACCCCCGGGGCGGTCGCCAAGCCTCTGTAGGGGGGTCGCGAGAGGTCGTAAAAACTATCGCGAGAGGTCGTAAAAGAATCAGTAAAGTTATAATGATAGATTTATCCGAAACCTAATTATCCAAATCCATCCAAATGTTGTATGGATTGAAATATTCGGTCCCTACAACATCTTTGTAACATTATAAAATGCATGAAAAAAAAAAGCGAGCGGTACGGGGGTCGCGAAATATTTTTTCATACCAGGGGGGTCGCGTCATGAAAAAGGTTGAAAAACACTGCTGTAAAGCAACAAAGAGGGAGTTGGGGTGTGTGTGGTGTCGTACCCTTGGCGATGCTCCACCACGGCAGCGTGACGTAGGTGAGGAAGGCGTTAAGCGGCGTGGACTGCTGCCGCTTGCCCTCCTTCCACAGGTGGAAGGTCTGCGTGAAGCCGCGCATCGCCCACAGCGGGTTGTATGCGCCGTCGTCCAGCTCTAGAAATATTGTAACACTTTTAATTCATTGAACACCGGTAGGGTTATCTGTAGAAGGTTCTTTTGCACATTGAAGATTAGTTTCAGGTGAAAATCATGGTTTTTTTCGCAGATCGTACTTACGGTTTTCAGAGGAAAATTTACAACGGAACGTCAGTTACAATAGAAACATTTTTTGCTATTTTTTTTTAAATATTATTAGCAATTTGTATTGCCCAAATTACTAATAGTCCCATTAGCCCCTCGTGTTAAGCTAAATAAGCTTGTGTTACGAGTGGGCTCACCACAATAGTCGAGCGGCGGTGGGATTCGAACCCGCGTTCCTCGGATCTCGAGTCGGCCACTCCGACCCTTTCACCGTTCGGCTATCGTGCTTCAAATAGATGGCGTTGACATCGTTCTATTTCGCGGTGACTCGTGAGCCACACAGCGTGCTGTGTTCCCCTGGGGCCGCTGCATCGGGAGCCGGCGATGCAGTCCTGGATCTGTCAATAGGCCGTATAGGCCGCGGCCTAGGGGCGGCAGATTTCAACAGACGCTTACTCGATTTCAGAAGAGAATTGGACATTTCGGGAATTGGACATTTTGGGAATTGGACATTGTGGGAATTGGTCATTTTGAAACCGTTGGACATTTTGGGAATTGGACATTCTGAACCTGAAGGGATAAAAGTTAATAAATATCCAACCACACCCTAGCCTACGGGCGGCAAAACTGTAAATCCGCCACTGCGGCGATGTGTCGCTGGCCACCTTCACCGATCTCTCGAGCCGCAAGTCTCCACCGCCCACTCACCGGTGTACCTCCGGGAGTTTTTGGGCAGGTCGCACCAGTAGTAGATGTCGGTGCCGTCGGGCGTGGTGCGGCGCGGCGGCAGGCGGGCGCCGCGGTACAGCGCCGCCGCCGGGCCCGCGCGCCGCCGCGGGAGCGTCACGTACGCGCGCGCGCCGCGNTCTCCACCTTAAACCTTTTCTATTGTTGTTTCTTTCATGAAAATATCTTGCTTAATTCTCTTTTTTGCAATAAAGAAAAATCTAACATTTATTTCAGGCACATAATTGTATGTTATTTCGTTCTTAAAATATTAGGCGACCGCAAACGATTTTTCTAATATCGTTATGACGTTGAGTGGGTTCTTTTAACTTTTGCGGCCAAATATTAAACATTTAATCGAGTACCGTGAGACGTTTCATTCCACTGGAGGCATCCATAAAATAGGTCTTGTATGATACTCAAAAGTATTCAAATGGAATGTATAATTTACTTACACAAAAAGAACACATATTTTTTCATCGTATTTTATGGATAGCTCCAAACAAATTCATAATTTCCTGCCGAGTTTTGTACTTTTTAAGGCATCTTATGGGCACCCCCTCGCCGATAATAGTAGATTATATTGTATTGTAATAAGAAATAAATGTAAATTATGTTCAGTAATAACCAAAAATATACATAGTCCGACAGCAAATAACAGTCTTTCCATTTTGCGGAATGATTAGGCGTTATACGTATATAGGAATCTGCTGTCAAGATTTACATTTTCTTCTATTGATATGCTTGTTATACATTTATACTTTCATTATGTTTTGCTGCCGGGCTACTATGGAAAAAATAAAATGACTTATCGGATAGTATTCGACCGAGGGTGCGCGCGCCGGCGCACTAGAACGTCAGAATTGGCTCCTCGCGGTGGTCCAGGATGTCTGGAAAATAAGAAATCGATTACTTACTCATTCCCAAAAGTGTATACCAGTTTTTTTTTAATGTATTTTGATCTTAGTGTAGGCGCACATTAGCGACAGCTTGGCGACTACACGTCTAATCTAGACAATTTCATACTTATATTAGCTTTTCGTCGCAACTCCGCGATTCTAAAGCCAAGTGTGCGAAGCTTTAAAAGAAATTCAGGGTGGAATTTTGTAATGCCACCTGGAGAGAAAGTACTCTTAATACTGTAGATAGAACATTTTACTCACAGAAAACATTCCTTAATTTAGGAAAATAAATAGAACTGCTTCTAAAAATTTGCTTGCCACACCCGGGAATCGAACCAACTAAAATTTGTTAAAAATTACACCCTGTATTTTTATTGCATCGATCGTTAGGGTTAAGTATAAGTATGAAATCTCTCAACAAACTTGATAAATCAAATGAAAGGAAAACCATGAAATCTTAAATTATTTTAATTATTTACAGAAAATTGTATGGTATGGTGATGAATTTTCGAAAAAAAATGGAAACTCTTTGAATGCAGCTCTCTTTCCTTTTTAAAAATAAAGAAATGTTTTCTTTGAGTAAAATGTTCTATCTACAGTATTAAGAGTACTTTCCCTCCAGGTGGCATTACAAAATTCCACCCTGTATATGAAATTGTTGCCGAGCTGTCGCATGTCGCTTAGTGTGCGCCCGCACTTATTGTAAAGAAACAAGCGTCCCGCTGGAGTGTGTTTTGTGGTGACGTACCTTTGGCGATGCTCCACCAGGGCAGCGTGACGTAGGTGAGGAAGGCATTAAGCGGCGTGGACTGCTGTCGCTTGCCCTCCTTCCACAGGTGGAACGTCTGCGTGAACCCGCGCATCGCCCATAGCGGGTTGTACGCGCCGTCGTCCAGCTCTAGAAATATTGTAACACTTTTAATTCACAGGACCTCGGTAGGGTTATCTGTAGAAGGTTCTTTTGCACATTGAAGATTAGTTTCAGGTGAACATCATGGTTTTTCTCGCAGATCGTACTTAGGTGAACTTACAACGGAACGTCAGTTACAATAGAAACATTTTTTGCTAATTTTTTTTTAATGATTATTAGCAATTTGTATTGCCCAAATTACTAATAGTCCCATTAACCCCTCGTGTTAAGCTAAATAAGCTTGTGTTACGAGTGGGCTCACCACAATAGTCGAGCGGCGCCGCGGCGGTGGGATTCGAACCCGCGTTCCTCGGATCTCGAGTCGGCCACTCCAACCCTTTCACCGTTCGGCTATCGTGCTTCAAATAGATGGCGTTGACATCGTTCTATTCCGCGGTGACTCGTGAGCCACACAGCGCGCTGTGTTCCCCTGGGGCCGCTGCATCGGGAGCCGGCGATGCAGTCCTGGATCTGTCAATAGGCCGTATAGGCCGCGGCCTAGGGGCGGCAGATTTCAACTGACGCTTACTCGATTTCAGAAGATAAAAGTTAATAAATATCCAACCACACCCTAGCCTACGGGCGGCAAAACTGTAAGGCCGGGTTCCCACTATGCCGGACCGGCATTTCTGTCGGAAACCGGACACCGGACAAGGGTGTTCACATTACACCGGATCACCGGATCCGAAATCCGAGCCGAATGAAGTGCGGGGAGCACGGGCGGGGCGGGGCGGGAGGCACGGGCGCGGCGAGGTGGGCCGCAACTCGTTCACATTACTCCGGTCCGGTGATTTTGCCGGCATTTTGTAGCGACAAAACGCTCGGTAAAAATGCCGGGCTCGGCGAAAAAGCCGGATCCGGGATAATGTGAACAGCTTCATACAATTTGTACCGCCGCTAGGCCTTCCGGTTTTACCGGGCCGGGAGATCTGCCGGTCCGGCATAGTGGGAACCCGGCTTAAATCCGCCACTGCGGCGATGTGTCGCTGGCCTTCTTTACCGAGCTCTCGAGCCGCAAGTCTCCACCGCCCCACTCACCGGTGTACCTCCGGGAGTTTTTGGGCAGGTCGCACCAGTAGTAGATGTCGGTGCCGTCGGGCGTGGTGCGGCGCGGCGGCAGGCGCGCGCCGCGGTACAGCGCCGCCGCCGGGCCCGCGCGCCGCCGCGGCAGCGTCACGTAAGCGCGCGCGCCGCGGTTGGCGCCCGTCCCCCCCTCGCGCCCGCCGTCCCCCTCCAGGCGGTCGTCCTCGGGCGCGGCGAGCGGCGCGAAGGGCGCGAAGGGCAGCTCCTCCTCGCCGCGCGCGGTGACGGGGCGACGGCGGGGGCGGGCGGGGGGCGGGGCGGGCGCGGCGGGCGCGTCGAGCTCCTCGGCGGCGGTGGCGAGCTCGGTGTGGGTCGCGGGCAGGTGCAGCGGGCGCAGCGGGGGCGGGCGCGGCGCGGGCGGGGAGGGGCGCGCGCGGCGCGGGGACAGCACGCGCAGGCAGGCCGGCGAGGACGCGTCGGGCGCGCGGGCGCACAGGTCGCGCATGCGCGCCGTGACGGGCGCGCCGGACGCACAGGGCGCGGCGGACGCACAGGGCGCGGGCCGCCGCCGGGAGGAAGCCTGAGAGCCGCGGCGCTCATCTACGGACAACGGGCGCGGCTTCAGTGGCGGGGCTCGACTTGAAAAATGGCTCACGTCTCGAAACGCAACGCGCAACGCGGCCGTATGGTGTGGTGGTTCAGAACGGACTACTATGCCGAGAGGTCCCGGGTTCGATTCCCGGCCGGGCAGAAATTGAAATGATGAATTTTAATTTCTGTGACGGGTCTGGGTGTTACTATGTATAATATGTATGTATTTAAAAAAAGTATATAAGTAGTATATCCGTTAAGCTAGCACCCATAACACAAGCATTAAGTTGCTTACTTTGGGGCTAGCTGGCGTTGTGTGAAAAGTGAAAGATTTATTTATTTATTTATTTAAACGCGCCGGCGTCCGCGGCCGGGCACGTTTCGAGCGTGCGTCGTTTCGATGAGCCATTTTGCAATCCGTCGATCGAACATTTCGTGTCGTCTGAGCTTTTCAGTTATTTGCAAAACAAACGCTACCGCGGCTGGCTTCCTCCGAGCGAACTGCGACTAATTTTGCGCTAGTCGGTTTCTAAAACGCCAGCCGGACCGATTAAGTATTAAAACTCATCCCGAACGTTGTAATAAAATTGATTTATTTTAACGTAAAGTAAAAAATAGCTATAAAACACCGATTCATCTTCTAATTACTATTAAAAGAATTACAACGTTTTTTTGTGAGATTTAATGTTTAATCGATTCGATCAGCATCTGAGACACCGAGAACACGTGACCGAATTACACAACATCTAAAAGCGCGAAAAGCGATGAGGCGTCAAAATAATCAGTGATAAACGACACGAAAATGTAACGTAAAACACATCAAATTATGCAAATAAAAAAAAATACAAATATTAACAAAAGTTTTTAAATAAATCTTAAAAACAAAGTGATCTTGGAAACATCAATGATCATCACATTACAATTTTATGTTCACTTAATTTTTCTGATATTTCCTCAACCATTTCCAAAAAGCCAATTGAGCAAGCCGTTTTACAGGCTACCAAATTCAAGGGGTGCATTGTAGCTTTTTTTCTTATACTTACCCGATACCCCCGCTGTAGAAAATAACAGCCATTGCTGTCAACATTGCAGCCCAAGCTTCGCCCTGCACATACGCCACCTGCTGATGGCAGCTAACTTCGTGTACAGTGTCGGGCACCTTTTTTTTTATCCACAACGAGGAAGCTCTTGGCCTGTATCTCACCTGATGGTAAGTGACGATCAGGCTGAAGGTGGAAGCGAGATTTACACGGAATCCTCAACCACAGAGGAACTGGCTATCTTACCTCTAACTGCCGGAACACAACAATGCTGTTAACATTAATGCTATGGCGACAGACTTAGGTAAGATGGTGGTAGCTAGTCAGGCGGACTTGGAACAAGCCCTACCACCAACCAAACTGAACAGAAAATTCTGCCCCCACTGGGAATCGAACCCGGGACCTCTGCGTCTGAAGCAGGTGGTCTAACCACTAGACCACAGAGGCGGTTAAACCTCGGGGAGAGTAGTGTCCGGCCCGCCCACGAGCGCGTCCGGCCCCTCGTACTCTCGTGCTGGAGAGTTTAGTGTCGGGCACGTACCGATCGCTGACAATATTGCAGCCCAAGTTTCGCCCTGCCATAAGCCAGCTGCTGATGGCAGCTAGCCTCGTGTAGCGTCGGGCACGTACCGTCGCGCAGGTCGCCGGCCTCCACCTCGGCCAGCCCGTCCACGAGCGCGTCCAGCCCCTCGTTCTCGGAGCGGCTCTTGTCCTTGGGCGCGCGCGTGCGCCAGCCGCCGCGCACGAAGTTCGTGATGTTCGCGCTCGGGTCGCTCAGCCGCCGCTGAAACGGTCAAGCCACTCATTAGTACAGAGAAACAGAACATTTTAAGTCTATGGGTTGTGCAACTGTATCTGAATATTGAGCAAAACTAAAAAGCAACGTTAGAAAACATCATCATCTACTGATGAGCATAGGCCTCCCCCAATGCTATCCTTGTTGCCCGGTTGGTAGCGGCCTGCGTCCAGCGCCTTTCTGCTACCTTTACGATGTAGTCGGTCCACCTTCTGGGTGGACGTCCTACACTGCATTTTCCGGTACGTGGCCTCCACTGACAGAACCTTGCTGCACCATCGGCTGTCAGTTCTTCGTACTATGTGCCCTGCCCATTGCCACTTCAGCTTGCTAACCCATCGGGCTATTTCAGCGACTTTAGTTCGTTAACGGATCTCCTCATTTCTGATTCGATCTCGTAATGAAACACCGAGCATAGCCCTCTCCATAGCACGCTGTGCAACTTTGAGCTTCTGTATAAGGTCTATAGTGAGAGACCACGTTTCCGAACCATAAGTCATCACAGGTAACACACAATGGTTATAGACTTTCGTCTTCACGCACTGAGGTATTTTGGACGAAAAGATGTTGCGTAGTTTCGCTGCATATTCTGGCTTAACATTTAAACGTCTACTCACCTGGTGGCGATATATGAACATCTCCTCAGGGTCGTCGTCCCAGTCGCTGTCCCACATGTCGGTGGCGCACAGGCCGGGCTCAGAGGAGGGCGTGTCGAGCCCGGCGGCGTGTGGGCGTGACACGGCCATCTCGGCGTGGCCCTTGCCGCTGGGGCCCTTCATGCGCACAAACTCGCAGCGCGCCGCCGCCTTGCCGCCCAGCAGCCCGAACGACATGCGCTGCGCCACCTTCGTGGATAGGGACGTTTGCTGGAACGTGCAAACGGACTGCTTAGTTTTGTGGTCGTCGATGTGGAATGGAAATTACCATAATGAGGGCTATCGTTTTAGCGCTCACCAGTTAGCGCCACTGTAGAGTAAGTAAGGTCCTGTCACTTGCTAGTAACGAAGACAGTGGAGCCAACTTGTGAGCGCTAAAGTGGTAGGAGGACTATCGTATTTGCACTCATCAAGATGGCGCCACTGTAGAGTAAGGTCCTGTCAATCGCCAGGGGTGCCAACTGTTAAGTATAAAAACGATAGCCCTCATTATGAGAGACAACAAAAACAAAATTGACTACCAATCGAAATCTTCTGAATTCATTGATTTCACATCAGTACCTGAGATTTAAATGTAGAATATAAATGAGAGTCTGATGCCCGTTTTCACCATCAATCCCCAATTTTTAAGTGATCTCTATGAAAACAAAATGCCTGTTTATGTGTTACCATAGGGGTCACTTAAAAATTAGGGATTGATGGTGAAAACGGGCATGAATCTGTTAAAGGCTGTCGAGTTATAACATAATGGAACTCCAAACCATCTTATGCTGTGAGCGTAAACACAATACACTCTGAATGACATATTATTATTGCTAATTTGCGGCAAAAAAATGGCCGGAAGCGAGGGATATCTACCAATGTCACAGACAGTGATTACTATAATCATTGTATGCTAATACACACAGATTTTTCAGAGATATGTGCCTAGTAAATATTTACAATTTTTCCACAAATTACGTTTGTAATGTGTGCGAGTTACGTGTGTTAGTTTTACTTGAGTAGAGCTGAATAAGACAATGAACGTAGGAAACAAATAAATTGAACCGATTTCACAATCGAGAACTAAGTAAAGAGAGACAAAAAAGAATAAGCGCCCACAAAGAAATAGAAATTATTAAGCAAATAAAAAACGATAAGCAAATAAAAAACGAATAACTAACCACACGTAAACAATAGGAACGTCCAACAATCCATACGATTCGTTCAGAAAGAAAGCATTTATTTTAAATACGAAGCGTTTGAAGTTCCAAACATCTCAATCATTCATTAGGCATCTTCAAAGCAAATGTTAATCGCAACACAAAAGAAAAATGTGGGAATAGTTTTAATAAATAAACAAGCGTGTTGTCGCCACAGACAGCTGACATCAATGGTGCGTATGTCTGCAATAACGAAACGTGCGTCGGAACAGCTGCTGACCGTGCACGCGACTTGCGTAATGTAAGAATATACATTTCCTCTTTATTCCGCCACTATAAAACAATAAGCCGTTTTTTTATTATTACTTTTCTTAGTTGTCCCAACAAAACTACGATCACTATGAAAGTATGTACATTAGAACAAATTGTCAATAGGGCTCTGATCGGCTAGTTAAACCATAACACTGATCGGCAAGATTTGCCATAAATTACGCATTAGTTGGATCCAATCTAGAATCTATGCCAAGTTATTTACGCTAGACTAACTAGAGACATTTTCCTTACCCCAGAGGAAGGTCCGAGCGTTGAACCGACGCGCTTGCCGTTATCTACCTATTGCTATTATCTATTATTATTTTCTATTGACGTTCATAAGTGCCACTTGTGGTCTAAACTGAATAAATATTTTTGATTTTGATTTTGACTAGGCGATAATTCTGACACAATAAAGGCACCTAGTATTGCTGATGGGAATATGGCAATATTTCCCTTACTTTGGCAAAGGTTTCAGGATTTGTCCCTCGTAGCAATAAATTTATTTATTTATATTAGGAAGACCAGAGCTTACATAATTTCAGAAAGTTCTTTAACAGTTAATAACACTACAAGCTGGTTATGAGCCGGATGATCATCGTTGCTTACTTGGTCGGTTATAATTAATCCAAATCGAGTCTTGAATATAGTTCTGATTAATGCTTTTGATCTCACGACAATATTAATGAGTAGCTTGCCATTCATGACTATGATCAATGAGCCTTTCCACTTGAACTTAATGTTTCATTTCACCGTTGCAAGTACTGTTGTAGACAAATATTAGGTACCTATAAAATTAACTATGTCATGAGTTTCCTTTATTGATTGACCGAGTACTGGGTTAATGGCTCGCCTTCATGATCATTACGAAAAGTTACATGCCCCGTAACAAGGTCCATAGGTAGCTTGGACAAAGAAAAACATCTTGGCCTAGTAAAAATATAAAATGTCGCATCCATGCCGCTACGGCAACGGGCACATTTCCAAATCCAACAGAGATTAGTAGGCATTGTTCCAAGTCCGCTACAAAAATAATTGTATTTCTTGCATTTGTTGACACTCCGCTTGGGACGCGACGCTCGTGATCTTGACTCCGCAGACAGATTTCGATCTCACACGCAACTTCACGACCGCATATAAACAGAGAAACTATTTATAGATACTTTAATTATTTTTAGGACAACGGCCTCGATGACACGCTTTGTTTTTATACGGCGTTAGACATTGAATTCAAATTATAATCGGATTTGTAAGCACACATAAATCACGATGCTAAACGGTCCGGGATGACGAGTCCTTCGTGACGTCAGTGCCTGGCGCGGGTATTCGGGAGGACGGTCTCGCCGCCCTCGGCGCCGGCCGACGACCCCACGCAAGAAGTTCGTCTGCGATCGCCACTGTCAACGTCGCTGACAACATTGTAGCCCAAGTTTCGCCCTGTCATACGCCAGCTGCTGATGGCAGCTAGCCTCGTGTAATGTCGGGCACGTACCGTCCCGCAGGTCGCCGGCCACGAGAGCGTCCAGCCCCTCGTACTCTCGTGCTGGGGAGTTTAGTGTTGGGCACGTACCGACAATAACAGCCGTCGCTGACAACATTGTAGCCCAAGTTTCGCCCTGCACATAAGCCAGCAGCTGATGGCAGCTAGCCTCGTGTAGCCTCGTGTAGTGTCGGGCACGTACCGTCGCGCAAGTCGCCGGCCTCCACCTCGGCCGGCCCGGCCACGAGCGCGTTCGGCCCCTCGTGCTCTCGTGTTGAAGTGTAGTGTCGGGCATGTACTGACAATAACAGCCGTCACTGACAACGTTGTAGCCCAACTGATGGCAGCTAGCCTCGTGTAGCGTCGGGCACGTACCGTCGCGCAGGTCGCCGGCCTCCACCTCGGCCAGCCCGTCCACGAGCGCGTCCAGCCCCTCGTTCTCTCGTGCCGGAGAGTTTAGTGTCGGGCACGTACCAACAATAAGAGCCGTCTCTGACAACATTGTAGCCCAAGTTTCGCCCTGCACATAAGCCAGCTGCTGATGGTAGCTAGCCTCGTGTAAAGCCTGGTCTGCGAGCACGTAGAATTTTGTCCAATGACCCCAAGCCCAAGCTACCCACTATAGTGTCGGGCACGTACCGTCGCGCAGGTCGCCGGCCTCCACCTCGGCCAGCCCGTCCACGAGCGCGTCCAGCCCCTCGTTCTCGGAGCGGCTCTTGTCCTTGGGCGCGCGCGTGCGCCAGCCGCCGCGCACGAAGTTCGTGATGTTCGCGCTCGGGTCGCTCAGCCGCCGCTGAAACGGTCAAGCCACTCATTAGTACCGAGAAACAGAACATTATAAGGGTTGTGCAACCGTAGCTGAATATTGAGCAAAACTAAAAAGCAACATTAGAAAACATCATCATCATCCACTGATGAGCATAGGCCTCCCCCAATGCTATCCTTGTTGCCCGGTTGGTAGCGGCCTGCGTCCAGCGCCTTTCTGCTACCTTTACGATATAGTCGGTCCACCTTCTGGGTGGACGTCCTACACTGCATTTTCCGGTACGTGGCCTCCACTGACAGACCCTTGCTGCACCATCGGCTGTCAGTTCTTCGTACTATGTGCCCTGCCCATTGCCACTTCAGCTTGCTAACCCATCGGGCTATTTCAGCGACTTTAGTTTGTTAACGGATCTCCTCACTTCTGATTCGATCTCGTAATGAAACACCGAGCATAGCTCTCTCCATAGCACGCTGTGCAACTTTGAGCTTCTGTATAAAGGCCTATTCAGACCTAAGCGGTATTCGCTACCGTCTGCGGCAAAGAAAACCCAGTGAGTATGCGGTAATAATACTGTTCAGACCTAAGCGGTATTCGCTACCGTCTACCTATGTACCTCTACCCACAGCGGCAGCGAATATCGCTTAGGTCGCTCTAGCCGCGATATTTGAGCGAAACCCGCGCGGTATGTACCTCTACCCACAGCGGCAGCGAATATCGCTCAGGTTTGAATAGGCCTTAAGGTCTATAGTGAGAGGCCACGTTTCTGAACCATAAGTCATCACAGGTAACACACATTGGTTGTAGACTTTCGTCTTTACGCACTGAGGTATTTTGGACGAAAAGATGTTGCGTAGTTTCGCTACATATCCTGGCTTAACATTTAAGTGTACTCACCTGGTGGCGATATATGAACATCTCCTCGGGGTCGTCGTCCCAGTCGCTGTCCCACATGTCAGTGGCGCACAGGCCGGGCTCAGAGGAGGGCGTGTCGAGGCCGGCGGCGTGCGGGCGTGACACGGCCATCTCGGCGTGGCCCTTGCCGCTGGGGCCCTTCATGCGCACGAACTCGCAGCGCGCCGCCGCCTTGCCGCCCAGCAGCCCGAACGACATGCGCTGCGCCACCTTCGTGGATAAGGACGTTTGCTGGAACGTGCAAACGGACTGCTTAGTTGTGCGGTCGTCGATGTGGAATGGAAATTGGCTCAAGAGAGACAGCAAAAACAAAATTAACTACCAATCGAAATCTTTTGAATTCATTGATTTCACATCAGTACTTTTGCTGTGCCTGAGATTTAATACTATATCTATAAAAGCGAAAAGGCACTGATTGGCTGACTCACTCATCACCAAATCTCAGAAACTACAGGTGCTAGGAGTCACAAATTTCGCATGGGGGTTTCTTTTAGAACGTAGATGCTCACTAAGACAAGATCTTTCAAAATTCAACCCATAAGGGGGTAAAACGGGATCCACGCGTAAGAAGTCGCGGGCGGCCAGTAGCGGCGTAAGGGGGGGGGGCGGTGGGGGCGGTCCGCCCCGGGTGCCAAGCATTAGGTGACAAAAGTCGCGCAGATTAGTACTTACTGGCGCACTGCATGATAAAGATCATGATACGATTGGTATCATTGTAGCTGATTCGTACATCTTTCATCTTCGAATCGGTATCCTGGGGGCCACCAGACCTGACCATTCTGGGGGTGCCATAGCCTCGAGCATGGGGGGGGGTGATCGCCCCGAGTGCCAAGCCATGCTACGCCGCCACTGCGGGCGGCCGCTAGTGTAAAACATAAATGTGAGTCTTACTCTGACTCTATTAAAGGCTGTCGAGTTATAACATAATGTAACGCCAAACATCTTATGCTGTGAGCGTAAACACAATACACTCTGAATGACATATTATTATTGCTAATTTGCGGCAAAAAATAGCCGGAAGCGAGGGATATCTACCAATGTCACAGACAGTGATTACTATATAATCATTGTATGCTAATACACACAGATTTTTCAAAGATATGTGCCTAAGTAAATATTTAAAAAAAATCCACTAATTACGTTTGTAACGTGTGCGAGTTACGTGTGTAAGTTTTACTTGAGTAGAGCTGTAATTTCACAGGTAGGAAACAAATAAATGAAACCGATTTCACAATCGAGAACTAAGTAAAGACAAAAAAGAATAAGTGCCCACAAATAAATTATCAAAGCAAATAAAAAACTAACAACTAACCACACGATGTACCTACTCGTACTAGTAAACAACAGGAACGTCCAACAATCTAGTCATATTCAGAAAGAAAGCATCTATTTTTCTAAAAGACATTATAAAATAGATGCGTTCCAAGTTTCAAACATCACAGTCATTCAATTTCATTAGGCATCTTCAAAGCAAATGTTAATCGTAACACAAAAGAAAAATGTGGGAATAGTATTAATAAATAAACAAGCGTGTTGTCTCCACAGACAGCTGACATCAATGGTGCGTATGTCTGCAATAACGAAACGTGCGTCGGAACAGCTGCTGACCGTGCACGCGACTTGCGTAATGTAAGAATATACATTTCCTCTTTATTCCGCCACTATAAAACAATAAGCCGTTTTTTTATTATTACTTTTCTTAGTTGTCCCAACAAAACTACGATCACTATCAAAGTATGTACATTAGAACCGTTTGTCAATAGGGCTCTGATCGGCTAGTTAAACCATAACACTGATCGGCAAGATTTGCCATAAATTACGCATTAGTTGGATCCAATTTAGAATCTATGCCAAGTTATTTACGCTAGACTAACTAGAGACATTTTCCTTACCCCGGAGGAAGGTCCGAGCGTTGACCCGACGCACTTGCCGTCTATTGCTATTGGCGATAATTCTGATACAATAAAGGCACCTATTGCTGATGGGAATATGGCAATATTTCCCTTACTTTTCACAGGCACAGGTTTCAGGATTTGTCCCTTGTAGCAATAAATTTATCTATACTAACTAATATTATAAAGCTGAAGAGTTTGTTTACTTGAACGCGCTAATCTCCGGAACTACTGCAACTGGTCCGATTTGAAAAATTCTTTCAGTGTTAGATAGCCCATTTATCGAGGAAGGCTATAGGCTATACAACATCACGCGACGATCAATAGGAGCAGAGCAACAATGAAAAATGTTGCGAAAACGGGTTTTGTCGCGTACTAAGTCGCGGGCACAGCTAGTTTATTTATATTAGGAAGACCAGAGCTTACATAATTTCAGAAAGTTCTTCTACAGTTAATAACACTACAAGCTGGTTATGAGCCGGATGATCATCGTTGCTTACTTGGTCGGTTATAATTACTCCAAATCGAGTCTTGAATATAGTTCTGATTAATGCTTTTGATCTCACGACAATATTAATGAGTAGCTTGCCATTAATGACTATGATCAATGAGCCCTTCCACTAGAACTTAATGTTTCATTTCACCGTTGCAAGTACTGTTGTAGACAAATATTACCTGTAAAATTAACTATGTCATGAGTTTCCTTTATTGATTGACCGAATACTGGGTTAATAGCTCGCCTTAATGATCATTACGAAAAGTTACATGCCCCGTAACAAGGTCCATAGGTAACTACTTGGACAAAGAAAAACATCTTGGCCTAATAAAAATATAAAATGTCGCATCCATGCCGCCACGGCAACGGGCACATTTCCAAATCCAACAGAGATTAGTAGGCATTGTTCCAAGTCCGCTACAAAAATAATTGTATTTCTTGCATTTGTTGACACTCCGCTTGGGACGCGACGCTCGTGATCTTGACTCCGCAGACAGTTTTCGATCTCACACGCAACTTCACGACCGCATATAAACAGAGAAACTATTTATAGATACTTTAATTATTTTTAGAACAACGGCCTCGATGACACGCTTTGTTTTTATACGGCGTTAGACATTGAATTCAAATTATAATCGGATTTGTAAGCACACATTAATCACGACGCTAAACGGTCCGGGATGACGAGTCCTCCGTGACGTCAGTGCCTGGCGCGGGTATTCGGGAGGACGGTCCCGCCGCCCTCGGCGCCGGCCGACGACCCCACGCAAGAAGTTCGTCTGCGATCGCCACTGTCAAGACCATGGTGGTGACTGGTGACGTCATGCCACGCGTGACATGAGTAATAGACTCCACGAAGAATTAAATCAATTGAGGATCTTCATTTTTCATGTAGATATGCTAACGGCACAAGGTGTTGCATGTCGCATATTAAACAGAGATTGTTAATCACGGTAGCTGCTGCTATAATTCTTACAGCGATATTCAAAGCAATGGTGTTTTCGTGGAATGAAAATCCTGCATCGGAGTTTCCAGGTGACCTCATAAATCGGTTATGTCTGCGCGTGTCTCGCTCGTGGCGCGTGGGTGGTCTCCAAGATGCACTAGTTCGGTACATCATCGCATCTGATTAATCGATCCCGATCAACCTCCGGGTGGTTGAAGGGCGCGGGGCGGCGGGCGGCGGCGGTGGGCGGCGGGGAGGGATATCAACAAGTAACGTCGCGTCGCCGCGTCGCCGGCTCGCTTTCGCGGAGAACCTCATGAACAGCAGCTCTGGCGGTGTGTGAATGGACTTGTTACTAGCCAACTGAACTGAAAGTTTAGTCTAGTGTACAACCTCTTTTGTAACCCACTCATGTTTTAAACCAACTTTTTGGTTAGTTTTCAACACTGCACTTAAGAGTCTTGTGTAGTCAAAATTTTTATATACCTACTTTTTATTTTAGACACATGCCGACAGTATTATCAGACAGTATTCTGTAGATCAGCTATAGATAAATAGACCAAAAGCCTAGTATTTTATTTATTTATGAGATTCACCGACAAAGCCACATACAGCATATTTTTTTTATATTCAGATTAGTCATAACTCAATTCCAATTCGTACTGTTTATGGGANACTGTCATGACCATGGTGGTGACTGGTGACGTCATGCCACGCGTGACATGAGTAATAGACGCCTCGAAGAATTAAATCAATTGAGGATCTTCATTTTTCATGTAGATATGCTAACGGCACAAGGTGTTGCATGTCGCATAAACAGAGATTGTTAATAACGGTAGCTGCTGCTATAATTCTTACAGCGATATTCAAAGCAATGGTGTTTTCGTGGAATGAAAATCATACATCGGAGTTTCCAGGTGACCTCATAAATCGGTTATGTCTGCGCGTGTCTCGCTCGTGGCGCGTGGGTGGTCTCCAAGATGCACTAGTTCGGTACATCATCGCATCTGATTAATCGATCCCGATCAACCTCCGGGTGGTTGAAGGGCGCGGGGCGGCGGGCGGCGGCGGTGGGCGGCGGGGAGGGATATCAACAAGTAACGTCGCGTCGCCGCGTCGCCGGCTCGCTTTCGCGGAGAACCTCATGAACAGCAGCTCTGGCGGTGTGTGAATGGACTTGTTACTAGCCAACTGAACTGAAAGTTTGCGTTAGTCTAGTGTATTCGAACTCCTCCTATGTTCTTCTGATTAATTTCGTTGCGGGTCCAATGACAGTTTAACTTTCCCCCGTGACAAACTTGACCTTCATTGGTTGGGTTTTTGTGGCAGTCAAGCTGTAGATCCTGGCTACACAGGAGTTGCAGTGGGAACGAGAGGTGGGAATAGTCTCGTGTTAGTTTAGTGTACAACCTCTTTTGTAACCCACTCATGTTTTAAACCAACTTTTTGGCTAGTTTTCAACACTGCACTTACTGAGTCTTGTGTAGTCAACATTTTTATATACTTTTTATTTTAGACACATGCCGACAGTATTTTCTGTAGATCAGCTAAAGATAGATAGACCAAAAGCCTAGTATTTTATTTATTTATGAGATTCACCGACAATGCCACATACAGTAGGTACATACATTTTTTTATATTCAGGTTAGTTATAGATAACTCAATCCCAATTCGTGTTGTTGATGGGGCATGAATGACTGTTGACTTGTTCACATAAAAAGCTTTAGCCTAAGATAAGATATCAGATCAAATAACAGGCATCAACGGCGGCAGTAGTCTCACTTTCACGTCTAGTTTGCCCCAGTTTCTGGATCCACCCGCCGCCTCCCGCCCCCTCCCGCCCGTCTCCCCTCAAACATAACTACCATGAACATTATAGATTCCAGTTCGAATGTTT